TAATATGAACTACTTTAGCATACAAGTCGTCCGACCTCGACTCGGCTCGGCTCCGCTCATTAATTAATGGACCAAATTCTACCTCGACTCGTTTATTATCAAGCGGAGCATGAACTTGGCGAAACTCGATTCGGGTCATTTGCAACTTAATTTACTATTGATGGTAAATTTTGGTTAATCCGTTTATATTGACCGTTAACCAGCTGTCTTTTTACTTCTCTTTCTTCTTCTTTGTTTTTTTTTTTTTTTTTTTTGTCTTTAGCTACCTGTAGGCTAGCTGTACATTTTCCCCTTGGAGCCAATGAGAAGGAGGGGGTACGGCCAGCCAATAGGAGCCACGTTTATTCCTTCCTCCCCAAGTTCTTACATCTGGGGAAAAATAAACCAAAAATGATATTATTATTATTCGACAGGGAGGGAGAGAAATAGGATAAGTTTATTTTATTCAAATAACTTACTCTTACTGTTTTATCACAATAATAACGAGAGAGAGAGGTGAATTAAAGAACCGTAGCTGAATTAAAGTTGTATGTTACATTTTTTCCATCTTTACAATAATAATTGAATAATAATTTGGACTCTTCATAATAGTACCCAATCTATCTTACTTCAAAATCAATTACATAAATTCGTTTAACTACTTATTTTAGTATCTTAGGAACAATTTTGTCATTAAAATGCAATCCTCTTTCCTCGTCAACATCGTCTTCATTGACAACATTTTGTTTATTTCACTAAGAACAAATATTAAGAATACAATATTACTCAATTCGACTAATACATATCAATATTGAAACCGGAACAAAAGTAGAAAAATAACGAGATTGATAATATTCAATCAATACAATATCAATGATATCAAACGTACATTAGTTTCAACATCGTAAACTGAACTATAAGTGTGCATTTTACTAACTATATGGTTTTCTAACTAATACTAATTAGTGTACTTAATCTGGATTAAGACAAGTAATTTACTATGCCGATAGCTAGGGACACAAGCAATTCGATTCGCATAAATATTATTAAGCTTATTGAACAAAAAAATTCTCTCCCGCAACCCCCTCTTAAATTCACTTGACTGGCATATTCCATATTCCACTACCTCAGATGAGCAAGTGGCAAGATTCACGACACAAGCATCAAAATTAAGGTGATATGATCCCAATTTACCCCTTGGTTAAGGTTGGAATGCTTGCCAAATGATCTATCAATGTTGGAAGGAAAAAAATGGAAGAATTTGGTTAAGTATTTGATCAGTTTCATGGTTCCTACTTTACTGGTTTATATCTTACATTTCGGTCGATGGAAATGCAAGGAAATGGTTGGGATTTGAAGTTCAAGTGTTTGTCTACATGATTGAAGTCCTAGTTTAGCAAGAACAAGCCATTGAAGCCACTTTCCAGATGCCTCAAGTTGCTATGTTGAAACTGGAAATCTGCCTGATTTTGGCAAGTCTTGAATCAGTTTGAAATACCATCTTTGGAAGCTTATTTGAAGCAGATGGAGTATCTTCGATGGGAGAGGCGAGTTGGAACTTGAAGTTCAAGACCAGGGGAAGAAACGACTGAAGCCTGTTTGGATCGAATCTCCCTAGAAGGCCTCGATCGAGAGCCTCAAAGTGGCCATGGAGGCTGGGTAGGAAGGCAGAATCTTGAGTATGAAGCAACCAAGTTTTGTTTCCTTTTTTAGTTTGGATTTATGTTTCCTTGTTTGACTTAGAGATAGATTTAATTTCTTGTTTGTTTAGAATTCGAATTAGGGTTGTCGTTGTCTATTTAAGGGCTTGAAAGCCTCGTGTAAGAAGTAGATTTGAGTTGAATGAAAATCGTGACTTTGTCACCCAATCCTTGCGTTGTTGGTTGTGTTCTAGCTTCGTGATTGCTTCGTATCGATTGAAAGCGGATAAATCGTGGCCGAGCTTCGATCAAAACCAATCCAGCCTCTTCCCAAGTGAGAAGTTGCACCTTTGTTCCTTTTTTGTTTTAAGTTTTGTTCAATCACTTGAGCTGCATACTTTGATCCAAAGAAGCACAAATTGTGCTCGTATTATAAGGGCAACAGTAGCAACTTGATGTGAAGAATTGACAAATCTAGTTGAGGATCCAACAATCCTTCCTTCCAAAATGAAGTCCAAGCTCCATCTCTTGGTTCCACAAAGCTCCTCGCCAAAATGATTCTTGAACCTAGTGGATATTATACCCCACACGTAGCAAAACCATCATTAGGGCATTCAGACTTCCATTGTGAGACCTCAGTTGTATATTAACCTTAATGAGTTTGCGTCACCAAGTATCACTCTCCCTGGCATATACTTCTTTTTTCTAGCTCCTTAGTCCTCTAAAAGTCCTTCAATGCTTGATCCAAATGCACAGGAATATACTAAAAACGAATAAAATGATATTAAAACATAATCTAGGTCTATAAAACACACAATGATCAAATAATTGAGATTTAGGCACAAAATCTTACTAAATATGCATTGATAGAAGGGGAAAATATTATAGGTGACAATCGGGCGGGTTCGGATCGGGTTCAGTCGGGTTGCGGGTCAAGCGGGTTGCGGGTCAAGCGGGTTCGGGTTGATCGGGTTGCGGGTTGATCGGGTTGCGGTTCAATCGGGTTCGGGTTGATCGGATTGCGGGTTACAACAGGCCGGGTTGCGGGTTGTTCGGTCCAAACCATCGAGTTTTCTATAATTAGTTACTACACTAATTTAAAACAAACTCACCGATCACCATATTGCAATGAAAAAAACATTGAAGATACATTATTAAACAAATGAGTGACTAGATTTTGCTTGAATATATCATAAACAAGTTTGATTTTGCAGAGGATTCATTAAGGTTACAGAACCAATATAAGAAATAAAAAAGCTGATAACTTGCTTGATCATAAACCTATGAAACAATCTCTTGAGTCTTGATAGTTAAGACCATTACATGATGTTTAAGCAAATATAATAGAATGAAATACAGAAAAGTACATAAGGCTTCATTAATCTTGAAGATTTCTCTTACTGCACATCTTAAGATGCCTCCACAGTGAAACTATCCCATTCTTATTAGGATAGCATCCAAAAACCTTCATGCAATGGTTGCATTGAAGCTTGACCTCCCCCTCTGATTCAACTTGAGTGAAATTCTCCCAAATTTTGCTTCTTCTAGCCCTGGCGTCCATTGCTTCTGGAAAAAAGAAACGAAAAAAAAAGAATTACATAATCAATCAAACAACAAACACAATAATGTGACTGTGAAATTTCATCTAGGGGTGGTCTGGATGCAGGTTTTTAATTTGAGAGGGTTTGCATACAGTTGGCACTCTTGACAATTGTATTGGCAAAGAACCACTACCAATAATTCAATCTCTTTTCCCAGAATTGAGAAACCCTCACTAACGAAAATGCTACAGCTCACAGCAAGCCTAACAATGAACTTCTAAGCCCTAACTTCTAAGTTCTAACCACCCTGTCCATGTAGCTGAAACCAAACGATCCCCACAAGTTTATAAAATGTTGAAATAGTGAACTTAATTTGAGAGGGCTTGCATACAGTTGGAACTCTTGACAACTGTATTGGCAAAGAACCACTACCAATAATTCAATATCTTTTCCCAAAATTGAGAAACCCTCACTAACGAAAATGCTACAGCTCACAGCAAGCCTAACAATGAACTTCTAACTTCTAAGCCCTAACTTCTAAATTCTAACCACTGTGTCCATGTAGCTGAAACCAAACGATCCCCACAAGTTTATAAAATGTTGAAATATACGGGACATAAAGCGAATCAAACTAGGGCTTGCAAGACAGAATTCACCAAAGATACTAATTCAGTTAACAAAAACATGTGAAAAAAATATGCATCTGGCAGGCTTTGAACAATGTACATTTAATTGGAAAGACAATCACATAAACCAACTAGTCCACGTGATTAATTTGTTATAATTCAAACTTGTTTTTTACTTGGTTCAACTGGAAGGCAGAGAGACCAGAAAAATAAAACGAAGTAAACCTTTGTTCTTGGTGGGAAAGATGAAAAAAATAATAGGGCAAGTCACCTAAACTTTATATATATATATTATCTACATATAATATTTATGCAAAAAAATATATTACGTAGTATTATTCGTGCCAATCGGGCGGGTTCAGGTTGGGTTAATCGGGTTCGGGTTAGTCGGGTTACGGGTTAAGCAGGTTGCGGGTCAATCGGGTTCGGGTCAAGTGGGTTTCGAGTCAAGTGCGTTGCGGGTCTTTGACTTTTAGTCCAATTTGGTTGCGGGCGGATCGCGGATCGGGTTGGTTGGGCGGGTTACTCGGGTCGGGTCATGTTTTGACACCTATAGAAAATATATCAAATATTGGTATAATAAATACTATAATTTGAGTGTTATCAGTCGTCCGCGAAGGGTTACATCTCCCCTATATTGATCCTTGCCCTACATCTCCCATATATTGATCCTTACCCATGTAAAAGCCATAGATACTTCCATTCTCTCTCTCTACTTGGCAAGTATGTGAGAGGGAACATCTATCACCAACACAAATAATTCAGAAAATAAAGAGCATTCTTTACGCACAGTCGAGGGGGTTTTTAACTTCGATTCTCAAGTTGAGGGGGTTTTAACTTCCAATTTGAGTTTGCTAGGAAGTTCATACGCAGGATGGGTTTTGAATCTGAATTGGGTCGTGCGTTTTGTGTCAATAGGGAACTGGATCACAGTGCTCTCATATTCAATTGTGAAAGGGAATCGCCAAGCTTGCTGCTTCCTTACTTCGGCAGCTGGTAGCTGGACTCTCCGGGATGACCGGGCCTCTTCTGGTGTTGTACTGTATTGGTTTTTTTATATGCTTGATTCATTTTGAGTGCTCTTTTCTTGCGGTCACGCTCCTCTGAACACACTCTTTTGTTTGTTGTTATTATCGGCTATATTCAATTTGCTACTTCACATAGCAGCAAGGTTCATTGCAAGCTTCACTATCCGTAGCTTAGCTCTCCTACTCTAACACAATCAACTTTTCTTAATCCAATAAGCTAGGGGAGTGTGTAGGCCTGTCGGTTCGGTTCGGGTCGGGTAACCGAACCCGAAACCCACGAAAAACCGAAAAACCGAACCCGCGTCACACAACCCGAAACCGAACCCGAAACTGTACTTTGTGGGTTTCGGGTACTGGAACCCGAAAATTATGCTGACGGTTTTGGTTCGGTTCGGATGAAACCGAACCGGTTCGGATGAAACCGAACCGTTTCGGTTTTTTTTTTTTTGTACTTTTCTGATTGGAGAATAGTCAGATTTGGATCTTGTTGTATGCTCGTTAGCTTCAGAGTTCGCCATCCATGGCGGTCTATCATCTCAAATAGCCAACAAATGGGGGCTTAACACTTAAGCAAGTGAAAATGAAGTAACCATGAAAAAATGAATGCAGTAACAAGAAATTGGGCGTAAACAAAATGTTTCAATCCATAAGAGCTTCAATCACTACAATCCTTACCCATCCAGAACAAGAAATTGGGCGGAAACAAGAAATTGGTCATCCTACCACTGTGATAACAAAGATGAGTAGAGAAGAAAGGAGATGCCCCTTTTTGAAACTGAATTCCCAATTACACTCTGCTTCCAGAACAATAGGCAGGGGAAACGAAAACAGAGCACTGAACACAGATTCGAAATCGACAGACCGGCAGCAGAAAGTAAAGCTACCCACCAACCACAATCATGTATAAAGAGGAAAAATTGACCCTTCCTTGGTCTCTCTCTGCTTCAGAGGCCCGAATCAGTTCGTCTCCAACGCTTTCAGCTGTACCGGGATCATCACCGCCGCCGATTGGGTCCAGAAGGTCGGAACCTTCACTGCGCTGGACGCCTCTTGCAGAGGCGATCTCTCCGATTACATCCCCTGCAGCGCTTGCTTCAATGCCGACGTAAGTTTGGCTTACCAGCTCAACGGACATCATGCCCAATTCCAGTTGCCAAGCCTTTCCACTTCACTTGCCTGTACGCTATTGGTAAGGTCAGCGAGCGTGGTCCTTTGGATGCCAATACGAACTGATTCGGGCCTCTGAAGCCTTTCCACTTCAGATGCCTCTCGGGGTTTTCGGTTTCCTTCTCGGGTTTCGGGTTTATAAAACCGAAACCGACATGTACATTGACTCGGGTTGAAACCGAAAAACCGAACCCGCATACACTTGTTGGTGGTTCGGGTTCGGGTTAAACCGAAAACCCGAAACCATTTTGACAGCCCTAGGAGTGTGGCTTTGCCCTGTCTATAAGGTTTATTTCTGTCTTCACAGTATACATCTCAGTTTGTTTGTTCTTTCTATAAGCTACTGATAAAAATGAATGCATAATGAAATCTACCATTGACACCTATTCGTGATCAATTATTTTCAGGGAGGAAACTCAGAACCAGAGTAAATGAGCAACTAATGGAACTGAATGCATAACGAAATCTCCTATTGACACCACTTTGTGATCAGAAACTTCATCCAAACCGACACAGTGATTTAACAATGCAATTGACAAGGAAATTTTTTTGCAGCTTACTTCCAACATCTTTTCATTCCTCTATCGCATCTGGATTAACTAATATTGCACTGAATATCACCATCCAAACCTCACAGAACCTTAATTCGATCAGCTGAATACAATCGTTCAATGTCTGGCTTTATCTTCTTCAAGGGATTTGGTGCAGATAAAGAAATTGGAGAGCAACGTGGGTACCTCCTCGGATGCTCTTTCCCAGGTTAATCCACTTGGTCATCTTTCATTATTTATTTTTTACTCTATTGTCCATATCACCTTAATTATGGTTTAATGAGAACTGATCTACAGTCAACTTTGAATTGCCGCCTGAGAAGTGAAAATGGAGTTGGGCATAATATATGCATGAGTTGAGTTGAAGTGTTTAAAGGGAGTTAGGCATTTATATATAATGCTCTGTCATGTGAATAAGAATTTGCTGTGCATGGTTGCTTGCCTGTCTTGAGTCCCTTTGTTGGCAGTACAATCAGAGAGAGACTATGAGATGAAATCCACTTCAAGTATAGTCCTCCACCCCAGCGTAATATAATATGGATCAATTTAAAGCTTAAAACTCTAATGCATTGTTTTCACCACAGGCTTTCCAAGCTCATTTGTGTTCTGTCACTGAAACCATCACTTTTGCAATAGGAGATGTGGAATGGCCTGGTTGAGCTGCTCTCTAACTAATTATACACCTGCCAATCCAATGGATGAAACAGTGATGAAAAAATTACCCCCCGCCCTGCCCTGTTGTTCCATCAGTCACTTAAAGCGTAAGGGTTGTGTCTGATAATTGGGGAGGAGGCTCGAGGCAATAGAATAGGCTGCAGTATTGTAGAGAGGGTCGAAACAGTACCAGGCCGAATGTGTTTCAATCTGTTTCCCTACTGGAAGGTTTAGCTTCTTACAGAAGTGGTAGCTGTTCTTGACACAACCCAGCTTAATTTCCTTCCCCTGTTTTGAAACGTACTTTTTATTAGGGACAAGACTTTGTCTGTATAATATTAGGATTTGTACTCAGTATTCCTCTTGTAATTAGTCTCCTACTCACACTTGTAAATTGTAATCTTATGGGTACACCCCTGTATCAATGATAATTCTCACGGTTGATAACCTTATATGGTATCAGAGCCTATTGCCTAACAGCAACTTAAAGCCATAACCCTAATCTCACCGTCGATCCTTGTCTCTTCGTATCACCACAATGTCCACCGGATCTGTTACCTTCGATGGTGGATCTGCGTCTTCAGGAACGGAGCCAGCGCTGGTTACTTTCAATCCGGCGGCCTCTCTTCCTCTCAAACTCACTCCAGCAAACTTCCCGTCCTGGAGAGCACAAATTTTCTCCCTCTTCCATGGCCTTGATCTCATAGGCTATGTTCACGGTACTATTGTATCTCCTGCAGCGACCGTTCTCATGGATGGAGCTCAAAGTCAGAACCCGGCCTACACTCACTGGTTTCGACAAGATCAGCTCCTTCTCAACGGAATCTTTGCTTCGGTTTCCGAAGCTGTGCTGCCATTCATAAGTTCATCCTCTATTCTGCCGCAACTTGGGCCTCCTAACTGCGCATGTATGCTAGCAGCTCTAGGTCTCACGTTATGACGCTCTACGATCGGCTGCTTGCTGAAAAGAAGGGCGATCGCTCTGTTACTGCTTTCGTGCAATCCCTTCGCACCACAGCTTCTGAGATGGCTCTTGCGGGCTCTCCTGTCAACAACGACAAGCTGGTCACAATCCTTCTTCGTGGCCTCGGGGATGATTATGTTGAGTTCTCTACCGGCATTCGAGCTCGTGAAAACCCGCCAACCCTTGAGGACCTCTTCGATCGTCTTCTGTCTCTGGAAGCTGACCTTGCTGCTCGCCGAAAAGACCAACCTGTCACCGCTTTCACTACTCAACGCGGACGAGGCTCATATCGCGGTCGTCGTGGAGGTGCGCCTGGTCGCGGATCTAGCCGCTCATCTACTATAGGTGGGGGGTCCTAGTCCCCTGGTGCTCCAAACTCCTCTGATTCTTGGTGTCCACCACCTGTTGATTCTGCTGGGACACCCTGTCGTGGCCGCATCTAGTGTCAATATTGCGAGAAGCCAAGCCACTCGGCACGCCAATGCTTCCAGCTATTTCCACAATAGCGCCCCGCTCAAGCCAATCACACTGCTGGCTCTTCTTCTCAACCAGCACCCTCTCGTCCTGAACCCTGGCTAATGGACTCGGCAGCCACCCATCATATTACACCTGACCTCGGTAATCTTGCTATCTATTCGGATTACAACAGCTCGGATGAAGTCTATTTTGGCGATGGTTCAGGTTTGCGTATCACCCATATTGGTTCTTCTCGTCTATCCTCGTCCAGTCCTCTTAAACTTACTGACATCCTTTGTGTTCCTGGCATTAAGAAGCGCTTGATATTAGTTGCCAAACTATGTCGTACTAATCCTATTTTGGTTGAATTTTTTGCCGACTCTTTTGTTGTGAAGGATCTAAACACGGGGGCGTCGCTCCTGATCGGAAGGAATAAAGGGGACACATATGAGCTGTCGGGAGCATCGCAAGTGGTTCGCCTGGCACTGGTCACTACTCGGACATCCGTAGATTCTTGGCATCGTCGTTTTGGTCATCCTTCTTTTAAGTCTTTATGTCGTCTATTTCGAACTAATTCCATACCTGTTACTGCTAAGTCGTCTATTTCTCCATGTACGTCTTGTTTATCCAATAAAAGTCATAAGATTCCATTTTCCTATTCTAGACTGGGGCCCTGCTCCTATTCCTTCTATTGATGGTTTCTCGTACTATCTAGTTCTTGTAGATCATTTCACTATGTATACCTGGATCTACCCTCTCCGTCGTAAGTCTGGTGTCTTAACCACTTTCACCGCCTTCAAAGCCCTTGTTGAAAACTACTTTTCCACTCGTATCCGCCATCTCTACACCGATGGAGGCGGTGAATTTCAAAAACTCAAATCCACTTTGATTTCCAGCGGCATAACCCATCTTCTCACCCCACCCTACACTCCTGAACACAACGGTCTTTCCGAACGAAAACACCGACACATCGTTGAAACTGGTTTAGCCCTTCTTCATCAGGCTAAACTCCCACTCTCCTACTGGTCATATGAATTTTCCACAGACTTTTACCTCATTAACCGTTTACCTTCTTCAGCTCTTTGTAATCGTGTTCCATTTAATGCCCTGTTCAACAAAACTCCAAACTACGACAAACTTCGTGTGTTCGGTTGCTTATGCTTTCATTGGCTCCACCCCTACAGTCTGCCTAAGCTTCATACTCGTTCCCGTCCTTGTGTATTTCTCGGCTATTCCCATCAACGAAGTGCTTATAGGTGCCTTGATCCTGAAAGTTGTCGCATCTTTCTCTCCAGTCATGTCGTTTTTGTCGAGTCAGAATTTCCCGATGTCTCGTCCTCTTGTAGTTCTCCTGAAGTAGAGTCTCCATCCTGGCTCGCCTCCACTATTCCTACCATCACTATCTTGCCTAATACCACTGCCTCGCCACCACCTCCTCCTCCGACGCCACAAAGGCCTCCCTCTCCGGTCACACACGCGACGCCCCAGGGTTCGGATTCTTCCTCAGAGGCACCAACCCCACCAGCTCAACATCCTATGGTAACTCGTGCTCGCAACCATATTTATAAACCCAATCCCAAATATTTTGCTGCTCCTGCTTCTTCACATGCTACTCTCATGCTTCTTCCCCGCACGGTCAAGGATGCCCTTCGTTCGCCACAATGGAACCGAGCTATGCAGGATGAGTTCGGTGCTTTGCGCTCCAACCATACGTGGGATCTCGTTCCCCGTCAGCCCCACTTTAATGTCATTGGCAACAGCTGGATTTACCGTGTCAAACAGCTGCCTAATGGTTCCATTGAGCGGTTCAAAGCTCGCTTAGTCGCTAAAGGCTTCCATCAACGTCCCGGTGGCGAATTTGGCGAAACATTCAGCCCGGTGCTCAAGCCTGTCACTATCCGAACAGTTTTTACCTTGGCACTCTCACAACTGGCCGATCTCTCAATTTGACGTCAAGAATGCCTTTCTTCAAGGGCCTCTTAAGGAGGTGGTTTATATGTCGCAACCTCCTGGTTTTAAGGATCCGGATCACCCCAATCATGTGTGCCGGCTTCGACAAGCCATCTATGGCTTTCGTCAAGCGCCCCGAGCATGGTATGAGGAGTAGAGCTCGTTTCTTGAGCGATGCGGCTTTCGCAAGACCAGCTCCGATGCCTCACTGTTTGTCTACTCCCGTGGCCCGGTCCTTGCTTACTTCCTCATGTACCTGGATGATCTTCTTCTCACAGGCAACTCACCGTCTTTTCTCCACCAGTTCGAAGCTCAACAGGCCACTCGGTTCTCTCTTACCAGCATGGGTGATGCTACTTATTTCCTTGGCATCGAGATCATCCCCACCTCCACTGGCTACCTACTATCACAACAAAAGTATACTCTCGACCTCCTTCACCGATTTATGATGCATGAGGCGAAGTCAGCACCCACTCCTCTCACCTCTACTGCGCGTCTCTCCTTACGAGATGGGTCATCTCCAGCGGATGGGACTCTCTACCGCCAGGCTATGGGGGCACTTCAGTACTTACTCACCACTCGCCCAGATGTAGCCTTCGCCGTCAATAAACTCTCGCAGTTCATGCATGCTCCCACCACCACTCACTGGCAACATGTCAAACGCCTCCTCCGTTATGTTGCTGGTACGACTACCCTTGGTCTTCACATCCGACGCCAAGCCTCCCCATTCACGCTGCAAATTTTTTCTCTGACTCCGATTGGGCTGGCGATCCAGATGACAGGACATCCACTTCTGGCTTCCTCGTCTACCTCGGTGACACGCTCATTTCCTGGAAATCCAAGAAACAACGCACGGTGGCTCGCTCCAGCACTGAAGCCGAGTACCGTGCTATTGCTCTGGCTACGTCCAAAATTCAGTGGGTTCGCAATCTTCTTCATGAGCTTCATCAGCCGCTCTCCACAGCTCCGGTTCTCTACTCCGATAACATGGGTGCTTTCACCTTTAGTTCGAATCTGGTGTTTCACTCCCGGATGAAGCATCTAGCTCTCGACTATCATTTTGTGCGTAAGCTTGTTCAGTCTAAGCAGCTCTGTGTTAAGTACGTGCCAACTGCCATGCAGCTTGCCGACATTCTCACTAAGGGCCTCCCAATTACTCGCTTTCGCCTTCTTTGTTCCAAGATTGGGCTTGCTGACGCCACCTACATCTTGCGGGGGCGTATTAGGGACAAGACTTTGTCCGTATAATATTAGGATTTGTACTCAGTATTCCTCTTGTAATTAATCTCCTACTCACACTTGTAAACTGTAATCTTATGGGTATAAATATACCCTTTATCAGTGATAATTCTCACGGTTGATAACCTTACACTTCTAACTTTTTCCCTAATAATATGAAGCCACCGTTATAAAAAAGAATTCTGGGGTGGGTTGGGTTGGGTGAGTTAGGGTGGATGTGGTATGAACTCAAATAATGGAGTCAAGAATAAAAGAGCACACCCTGGATAAGCCAGTTTTTGCCCCTCATTGCTAACAGCTGACCTAGAAAGAAAATGAACCTGCATACTGAACGTCAAAAGGAAATCCCTACTTAGAGTAGATGTCCGTCCGTCCGTTACCAAGAGATTATGACGTGAACATGCTTTCGTTCCTAGGCAGAAAAAGTTAATCTCATATACATCAGAAAAACATTGAAGGTCCCACTTTATTTTATCTCTCGTCGGACTGTTGACTGAGGGATAGGAGGAGGAGAAAGAGTCAAAGATATTGCCATATTGGCTAAACCATGACCAACAACCCACTGAAAAGGGAAAAGTAAGTTAGCCTTTTCACACAAGGTAAACCATCCAAACTAAATAAATGTTGCATGCAACAATAGCAATGACACAAATCTAACAACTCTTTCAATGCAAAACAGTTACATATCTCTCCTAGCTTTGATTACTGCATCCTAGGCTACTAGAGGCAATGGAGCATTCATACAGTAACTGGGTCAGTTTGGAACCAAAAAGCACAAAGTACTCTCAAGTATTTCTCCTAGTTATAAATAAGAAGAACGATTTCCTCATATCATATTTGGCAGGAAAACATCTATGAATGAGTTCATTACGGTAAACGAATATTCAGAAAAAAATGTGAATTAAGAACCATCTTATTGCTATATAGATATATGAGAATTATGTTGTATGACTTCATTTGCATTACTTTCAACCCAAGAAACCCCTCGACTGTGATCTCTTTGGTAACATATGTGAGGAGAATCACTCTACTGGTGTAAACATAAAACATAAGTATATTTTCGCTTATTGTCTCGCCTGCACCGAAGAAATCTCCAGATTGAATATAGAACCAATGACACAACACTCTTATTCAAGTACATTTCCATTTACCTCAGCTACACATTAAACAAACAGTTCTTGCAAGCTTTGCTTCATGAACACGCTCCACTCACCAATGAAATATATGGTGAATTATAATACCTTTTCAATAATATAATAATTGTGTGTCAATATTAACCAAAAAGTCAACCAAATTGATTAACAAAAATTGTATTGTAGTGCATAATAGATAAGATTAATCTCGCTTGGATATTAGAATATTTTCTTCTTAAAAGTTGGAAAATTTCTAGAAATACCACTATTTAAAAAAAATATAAAAATGCCACCCAATCCAAAAAAATCCACATATACCACCATTAAATGAGGATCGCCGCATGGGGAGACGGTTTGCATGAAAACCGCGCTGGGAAGGAGCGGTTTCCGGTAGGGCGGCCACCAAACCGCGTTGCAACGCGGCGTTCCCCGGGACCGCTCGATTGAGGCGCGATCCGAGGGTGGACCGAGTGCCAGCTAGTCAATCCGTGTCGTGGATCGCAAACAGTGCCTCCGAAGTGTGTTTTTCGTCTTGATAAGTGCAAATCGTTACCTTGGGGTGAGGTTTCGTTCTGTGAAAAATTACGAACCATCCCCCAAGCAGACGGTTTGTGGGCTATATAAACCCCCCAATCCTTCATTCCTCTCCACACCACAACCCACTCTTCTCCCTCTCTCTAAATAAATCTCTCCATCCACTCCCCTCCCCAAGCCAAAACCAAGGAAATAGTGGTCTGTTGATTGCGGCTAAGTCTGAACTATCATCAGAAAATATTTCTTTGGTTTTTCCTTCAAAGCCCATCGGAAACTCTATCCGCGTTACTTTTCAAACGGCGGATTGGGAAAATGAGGGTATTTATATGGATGACTATCAAGCGGTACGCTCTCATTTTACCAATTTATGTTGTTATAATTTTTGTATTAATATATATACTTTTTAATTTATATTTTTGTTATGCTATCATAGGTTGGGGAGGACGTGGATATATACGATCAGCGATATTACGTGGAGCAAGGACCGATTGATCCATCTGTGCTATACGACCAACCTAATCATCGTTCAAGGGATGTTTGGAACGATCACGAGGTACTTATAAATTCTTATAAGTATATATTTTTTATTTTGTTAAAGTAAGTTAGTGGTTTGTAAATAAATTTGATAATTGTTAATCTTATTGATTATTTTCTATAATTTAAAGCAATACAATGTGCCACTTACTTAGACTCTTCATAAAGAGATGCATGTCTAAGGGTTTTAAGCGATCATCATGATCCTCCAATTTCCTGGGAAAATCGGGTTCTAAGAGATCCTCAGATCCCCTTTTTCTGTCAAAAAGGCTGTTTTTCTAAAGAGATGTATACCTCTTCTAAGAGTCTAACGAGTGTACTTGTATTGTTTAAATTATTGAAAAAAACCAATGAGATTTAATAAATAATATAATCGAGTATAATTTTGTGTACAAAATTAATTTTATGAAATGTTTCAAACTGCTATTCATTTATTTTAGTTAACTTAATATGTTTTTAGTAAATTATTTATACATTGTGAAAAAACCTTGATTTTGTTAAGGCTATAGTGTTTGTTAAAATAGATTTATACATATTTATAAATCAGAAACTTATAGCGAAAGTAAATTTATTCGCTAGGATGGCACTGTATAGTCCGCTCTAAGAGTTCCAGCGCTATGCTCCCATGGAACGACATCATCTTGCCCTATCTAAGAAGGGCAAAGTTGGATTCGATTAGACATTTTTTAGGAATCAAGATCGACCGCCAGCTCATCACAACGTTGGTTGCGAGATGGTGATCCGAGTCACATTGCTTCAACTTCTCCGAAGGCGAGTGCACCATCACACTGAAGGACATCACCATCCTAACCGATTTGCCCATTGAAGGTGATGTCGTGTGTGTGGGCGATCACCCACCACCCTCAGATGTCGACGAGATGAATGGATGGCAGTATTTGATATGGACCACCTTGGGTTTGTTGGTGCTTGCAAAGGGACAAGAAGATGACGAGGAAGATGGTCTTCCACCAGTGAGGAGCCGCCAAGTATCCATCACTTGGTTGAAGAACAAGATCAAGAAGAAGCACGACCCTGCTCAAGATGGCTTTCTCCTCACGGAGGAAAGTGATGAGGCACATAAGGAAATCTATGCACGTGTTTATCTCATCGGATCGGAGGGGTGTTCTTCCCCAAGAAATCCAACAACTTAATCAGCAATGGTTGGTTGAAGATCCTCCTTGGTCCCTGGGAGGATATGGGGAACCTATGATTGGCATCCGCATGCCTAGCTCATATCTACCGCTCCCTCTATAATGCAACTCCGAAAGCGGTAAAGGAGATTGATGGGGCAATGTTCATCATCCAATTTTGGGCTTGGGAGCATCTGCCATGGATTGCGCCGGTCTCATATCCTGACAAGGAATGGGTCAATGACCACCCCTATAGATTCCAAGCTTATGGCTGTAGGTAAACTTCTCAGATCTCAATCAACTCTTAAACTTCTTTCGTACTACTTAATAATTAGATAGTTATAACTTTGTATGTTTGTCGATTTAATAAGATGGCTTGGACAAACAACAAGCGACAATCTGCCGGGGCACATGTTGGAAGAGTATCAGAGGAGGCTGGATCATATTTGGGAAGCAGAGGTAACCATCAATAAACATCTACTTCTTTGTGATTTTGTCCAGTCCATTTTTAAATTTTTGGCCCTCGCGGTGGTCTTCCACTTTGATCCATCTCGTTTGGAATCCTTTTGACCCTCGATCTACCTGGTCCACGCCTAAGCCCGAACAGTGGGATGATCACCTTTCCATCATATATTGGCCAGTAAGCTTCGTCCGGTAATGCACAAAAACACCTTCCATAAGAGCTTTTTACTGAGTCGAGTTTGAAGAAAGGACTAACGAAGTGAACGGGGTCTTTGGTCCTGTGTTTAATCACGACCATTGCATGAGAACAAGGCGTACCTCTACCATGATATTTCTGGCAAGAGCACTCTCCTTGTTTTGTTCTGAAGTTGATCTTTACTTCATGTCGATGCCCCGCACGTCTACCATCCTGCCAGTGCCCGGTCTCGACTGAATACTCACCAGCATCTCGATTCATAACAGTGACACTTGCCGACTGCTCTTACGGTTATCTTTTTCCAAGATCTCTATGGTTTTATCGGAATCAGTGGCGGACCCAGGATTATTGAAGAGGGGTGTCGCCAATAAAAATTATAAAAATTAAGATAATGAAATAAAAATTTAATAGAAATTACTGAAAATTTATTTATAAGTTCACAACCTCATGTTTACTACGAATTATGACGATTTTTTATATTTGAGATTTTTTTAAAATACATTCATCATTTATGTTGCAAATCAAACCTTTTTCGATATACACAACTACATAATCATTCATAAATTAGTCACTCAACTAAAGAGAATCGACCTACGTCTAAAATCAAATTAAATTAAAATAAATTAGTTTGCTACCAATCGGCTTTTTTAGAAAAAACAAAGTATGCCTAAGTAATATCATTAGCATTTTTTCTCTAGTTTTATCAAATTAACCAAAATCAAACCACAATCTCCCATAAATATAGGCAATTCACCTATTAACTACAAATCAATAAGTTAAATTGGGTTGTGGGTTACTTAAAACAAGCATGCTTATTTGATTTTACTTATTATTGTTAATTACTAATTATGACGAATAACTTTATAACATTAAAACTTTTGTCATATAATGAAAGTGTGTCGCTTATAATTATTAGAGCGGTGTCGGAAGTTCCAAATTAAAAAATTTTGTACCGAAAAAATGGAGGTCCTTCACAAAATTTCCGGGCGGAGGGGTGTCGTCCGACACCCCTCCCCTTGCCCTAGGTCAGCCCCTGATCGGAATGGACCTTAGCCTGTGCCTCGTTAGTCTACAAACCATTGGTTCTTTCTCTAGTATGTCATCTCCACAATTGCAGAGATTGGTAATGCACGAACATCCTTGAAGACGGAGTTGATACTCTCACTAGAGTTCGTTGTTGCAATATCCCACCTGGTACCTCTGTCCTTATGAAAAGTCCACATGGTTAGGTCATGTTGATCCAACCACTCTGCACCTTCAGGGCAAAGCTCACAAATTTTCTGCATCTTCTCCAAGAATTTCTTCTCTTGGTAGGCTACAGTTGATGCATAAATAGAAGAAAGGGTAAGGTAACAGGTAAAACAATATAACACTCGTTATACTCTTAGGAGAGGTCTACGCCTCCTTAGAAACACAGCCTTTTTGACTGAAAAAGGGGGGATCCGAGGATCTCTTAGAACCCGATTTTCCCAGGAAATGGGAGGACCATGATGATCGCTTAAGACCCCATTTCCTTAGGCATGCATCTCTTTATGAAGAGTCTTAGTAAGTGTTATATTGTATTGTAAATCTAATTTTATCAAAATTAATTGGCCAATGTAGTATAACGCTTACCGGTCCACCATAGACTGTCAGCAAGTTTCCTCCGCTTGAAATGATGGTTTCAATTGCTCTTGAAGTGTCGTATGCACCACCTCTGAGACCACTTCCAGGCTGGATCCAATCCTAAATGGCGACTCTGATCCCAGCATGGCGATAAGAGATGATTATCAGGTTCGTTCTCCTGGTGACGTGGAGATGAATTTGTCGGAAAAACCATCCATAGCTATCGGCATTCTCTCCCTCAACAATGGCGAAGGCTAAAGGGAAGACTTGTTTATGATCCACTGGCAATAATGAGAGTGCCCTTGTACTTGCCAGTAAGGAATGTGTCGTCCACTTGTATTACAGGAACACAGTAGGGAAAACCATCAATAGATGGCTTAAAGGACTAGAAAAGACGTTTGAAATGGCGTTTGTTACCGGGCTCCGATGACTGAATTTCTTCATCTTGGTAGCGGGGGGAGAAAACAGTGCCAGGGTTAGACGCCTCCAATTCCAAAATCAATCTTGGAAGGAATGCGTATGATTCTTCCGAGTCGCCAAACATGGCAAGAATTGCTTTCTGCTTTCCATGCCACGCCTTCTTATAATTAATAATATAACCATAACGACTAGAAATGTCGGCGATGATGGCTTTAATCTTCAGGTCGGGCTACTGCTCAATTATATGCTTGATAACCGCAGCAACCACCCTGGATTTCAACTGTCGATGGCCTTGGAATGTTGTGGATGACACACATGTGTGTGTGTTCATCGCACGAGATATGACCCAATGCCCAACTCTCTTGCTCTTGATGGCCCGGACCCTAGCCTGACACCCCTCTTGTTGATTTTGGCATCAAACTATGAGTCTCTTCGTGTCAGAATGAGTTGTGCGCCACTCAAAAATCCGAGTCATTGCTTCAATGTCAATAACGTGTCGCACCTCCTTCTTCGGCCCTTCGTAAACCCAGTGAGTGGACCCCATATTGGCACCTCTGGCGGCTCCATGTCGGCATCAACATACCAATCTTCATTTGGAATATGCTTGTAGTACGAGATAGGTACCCGGTCACGAGACACCTCATCATCATCTGAGTGTGAATCAGGGCCTGAATCATCGGCACCTTCAAGAGGGTCGAAGTTGTATGCACTCACATCACCTTCCTCTTCTTCATCCTCAGGATCCCTGATTGGTCCTGGGAGGACATCTTCCATCTCATCAAGATCATGAAAGGCACCAACATCATCTCCGTAATGGTAGTTGTGATAACTACCACTGCCTGCATGAAAGTCATACTCGGATTTATACTGGTAGCCATCGTCTTGGTTGTCAGTGTATCCTTGGGCTTCTCCTTCTTGATACTCATTGTAGGAATGACGATCATGGTAGATTTGGTATGGATGATCTTCATATAATCCCCCTCCACTGTGGATACCAGATGTTTGGCCTTCTCCATAATGACCTCCAGCACCTGCGACCGGCTCGGTGTAAACGAACATCTCTGCTTTGGAAATGTTATTGGTGGTCAAAAATTCAACCATTGAATCTACTTCCGCCTGAGTGGTTATGAGGAATTCCTCATGCCACAACGCCTCGGATTGTCTGTTTGGATATCGATACACCATACGGTCAACTCTCCTCGTGCCACCCATCCAAGTAACCTCAGTACAAATTCGATGGAGATCTTGAAGGTTCGGTCTCGTAGCAACCTTCACTTTTTGAAAATTGTCATCGACGTAACGTACTCCCTTTCCGGTCTCTTTCGTATAACCATTCCAGCTTAACCAAGCATGAACTTTTGGAATGCCATCTGCAATAAAACGGTAACTTAATTAATACCATAAAATTTGTCAATGTTAATCGCAAAGCAAACTTACAATAAAAAGTAATACAAAACAAACTTACAACGTAACGTTAATCGATATAATACAAAACACAAATCCTAAAACAAAAACTTAAAGAAGAATAGGAAGAGGGGTGAAGTGCTAAGTTTTCCGAGACTGCCTTTTATAGCAGAAATTTTCATGAAAACCGCCCCCCCCCCCCCATGCGGTGTTCACAAAACACCCACCCCACCCCCTGCAGTCCCCTGCATGCCGACTGTTTCCCTGTCGGGAAAGTGGGGAAAACACACAAACCGCTCCCCCCAAGGCCGGTTTTGGTGTCGACATAACTAACGCTCCTCCCAAGGGCGGTTTTCGTTGCCGACAAACAAACCTCACCCTGGAGGAGCGGTTTCTGATATTTTGACCTAGGGCAGCCATCAAACCGCGCATGGGTAGAGCGGTTTATTGCTCAAACTAAAACCGCTCATTCCCAGTGCGGTTTACTTGGAAAATGCCTCCCCTAGCGGCGGTTCTTAATAAAGGGTGGTATAATTGGAAATTATTTGGATTGGATGGTATTTTTGTAAAAAAAAAATTCAATAGTGGTATTTCTAAAAAAAATCCCTTAAAAGTTACATTTTTAACAATGGTTATGTTTAATTTGTCTTCTTAAGTGATGGAAATTTAAGAAAGGAAGCCTCAAAGGATCAAACAGAAAGACGTAGTTAATTCCAAAATCGACATTCCTAAACAGCCTGATAGGAGAAATATGTATAAATATTGTAAAAGGTTGAGTAGAATGGGGCAGGGCAGAGCGGGTTAGAAGTTGACAACCATGTCTCGCCCACGCTACTACGGGTCGAGCAATACCCGCCCCATAGGTAATATCCACAGGGTGGGTTCAAATTGCCATCACTAATTGTCCTTGTTGAGTATTAGAGAGGCCATGAAGAATTACTAACTAACCTACCTCCGGCCAACGGACCGGGTTATAAGCTAGTATATAATAATTCACCTAAAAAAATCCTAAATGGCTAAACTCCCCAACCCCACCCACACCTTTCTCCCCCGCCGCTCACAGCCTCACACCCTCCCTCTCTCAATATCTCTCCCAGCCTTCCTCTTCCTCTCCCAGACTCTCCAGTCTCCCTCGCGTTCCCTTCCCACCCTCGCTATTTCTCAGTAGTCAGTACTTTCCCTTTCTGGTTCCCGATATATCTTTCCCATCTATTGAGCCCTATCTCTCTCATTCCTTCTCTTTCTATTTGAGATTTCCATCATCAATCATTCAAAACTCAAACTCCCAAGGCGACGACATACATTATCATTCGAGAATCCAAACCGGCGACGACAACCAGATTCATTTTTTCTTTAATTTTCTTGTGAAATAGTGAAAACTGGTCGGTTAGTTTGATCAGTTCGAGCGGTTAACAGTGCGGACCGCTCACCGACCGGCTGTTATGGTCGTTATGGCTTTTGGGATGTTCAGAACCGGACTGGAAGGCGCGTGCTGATTTTACCGGTCCGGTCCGGCTTTAATAACACTGCCCTTGTCCGATTATATCTATACTAGTTTTTTGGCCCGCGCTTCACAGCGGTAAGAAACTAAATTATATTTAAAATTTGATCTACTCGTTTAATCATTTAGTTGAAATCAAATAACTCACAAAATAGTTCAGCTAAGATAGTTCGTAAGCTTTACATATTTTTTAATCATTATGAAAAACTTACGTAATCCGTTCATTTAATTGATACTTGAGATTTACTATATCTTCATATTTTTTATGCAATATATCTATAATTTACATAACAATTTTGGAAACGGTGTTACATAAATCTTATGGTTTGTGATATAATGATAAAAGTTACAGAAAAGTATCACATTTTATCAGAAGCGGACCTAGGTTGGTTGTCAATTGACAAACCTTAATCCACTTTTGGGACAAAATACATTTGCAGAATTGTATTGTAGTGATGGTAGTATTTGAACTTAAAACTATATGACACTTCTTATGATTTTCTGTTATAGTTCAATACCTTTGAGGTACTTTCTCTGTCTGGCACTATATTTAAATAAACTATTATGTAAAATTTAACATAGCTTAAACAACCTTTGTATAATACAAATTGATGAGATTTTTGTTATAAGCTTGAAAATCAATGGGATGTTAACTATTGTGAGTAATAATAATAAAATTTTTAGTTAATAATAAAAAAAATTAATTTAAAAAAGTATTATATTTGATTAAAAAATTAAATATTAACTTTACAGAACCTATATGTAACATGATCAATAATTTACTTGATTGTAAAATAATTGTCATTTAAAATTATATTACGGGATACTTTTACAATACATTTGTATCACGTTTTGTTTAACTTATCCAAAAGAAATAACTATCTATCCATATGTTTTTATATGTATGTTTTTATCCATATGTTTTTATACGTAGTGTCGCAATCATTACGAAAAAAACTTACATAATATATTATTATTCAATTGATACATAATAAATAACTGGACTATCCATCCAATCTATAAATTTTACATTATTGATTTTATAATTTAAGTAATTTTTATAGAATGATATTATAAAATATTATGTAATGTATGTCTATGGTCTAATAATAAAATTAAGTTATAAAATGTATCTCATAATAAATATCTTTATTGATTTTATAATTTAAGTAGTTTTTATAGAATGATATTATAAAAATCTTACGTAATATATGTCTATAATAAAATTAATAAAATTAAGTTAATTTAAGTAATTTTTATAGAATGATATTATAAAAATCTTACATAATGTATATCTATGGCCTAATAATAATAATAAAATTAAGTTATAAAATGTATCTCATAAGTTATGCTCTTATCCAAAATTACCAACAAATGTGTGGTGTTATTCTAATTTCTAACAAACAAACCCCCACTTCATAATGTAAAGATCCTTTTACCTCTGAATACCCATGTGCGGAAAGAAAGAAAATAAACTGTCAGCCCCATGCCAATTAATTATATTAATTGGCAAGTTTAATTCACTGTAGCATACGAAAAAATAGCTTAAATTGGCAAGTTTTCCGATAAAACTGAGATTTAAGCTATTTTTTCGTATGCTACAGTGAATTAAACTTGCCAATTAATATAATTACGAAAAAATAGCTTAAATTGGCAAGTTTTCCGATAAAACTGAGATTTAAGCTATTTTTTCGTATGCTACAGTGAATTAAACTTGCCAATTAATATAATTAATTAATTAATATGTTGACACCATCCTCAAGTGCCCCCTGACCATCTCTTTATTCCTCGGGCAATGCTAGCTCCAATTCGACTCGCTTGCAGCCTTGCACCATCTCACCTTCCTTTCATCCCGTCATCAATGATGCCCTAGCTTCCGCTCCTTTTGATAATAGCGCAAAATATTGCTTTCTTTGTTCTTGCAACGCCAACCTCAACCTCTCATTCTTTGATTAAAACCCAGGAACTATATCAGAATCAAAGCTTGAAAAGAACATAATTGCGGTAAAGTAATAAAATTCAAATATTGTTTATCTAGATTTGGAGGAAAGAGTAAGGCGTTGTCACTGAAAATCCCAAACACTCCAAAATCTTGAATAACACCGCCAACTAACGTTGTTAACAGCTTTCTCAATGCCGTGTTTGAATATAAGACCCGACTTTTTAATCTTTCTCAACTTGTCCAGTAATTCATTGGCAATCAAAGTGCCCTCCAAAATATGTCTTCCTTGAATCGTAGCTTGATAGTTTTGAGAGATGATCCTAGGCAAGATTAACATCGTTCTACTCCCAAAGAGTTTGCTGGAAAAAAATTCGAAACATCTTTTAAATAAATAAAGAGGTGTAAAATCTTATATTTCTTACCTGATATATTTCTTTGGTGTCAAACAAATAAACGAAGGACAGACACAATGTTGATTAAGTGTTCGATCTGTTTCATGTTATCTACTTTACGGGCTAATATCTTACATTTCGGTCGATGGAAATGCAAGGGAAGGGTTGGGATTTAAAGTTCAAGTGTTTGTCTGATATGATCCTGGTTAGGATCATTGTCAGAGTAACCAACGCAGCCAACAAGAATGGAGAAGTTTGCCTATTTTGAAGCACAATCCGAATGTGACGACGAATCAATCGAACAACTTTCTCGTGGGAAAGAGGCTCAACGATTTAGGGTAGAACTCCCACAACTGGTCGTGATTCACCAGCTAATGCTTGAGCTTGATCTCGAGCTTGGATTGAACCCAAACACACAATAAAAACACGTTTAAACGAAGAACATGAATTAAAACGAAAACAACTTATGTTTAATCTTCTTTCTCTCTACCATTACACGTTAATTGAAAGCCTTTAAATAGACAATGGTACGCTACGAATCATAAGAAAGACTATCCTAACCAAACAATGAAAATAGAATCCAAAAAGAACAATGAAACCAGGGTTTCTTCTCGGCCAAGTAAGTGCCTTGAGCTGCACGTTTTCAGTGTACTGGGTACCAACTTGGAGCTCTTAGAAAATGGGGTAAATCACCTTGTCAAACTCATCCAACACCTTCAAGTGGAAGTAGAAGTTTCCTTCAACGAGAACCAACTTGGGGCTCTTTCGTTTACAACTTCTAGCTGGTCCAAATCATCTCCCATCAACGAGAACCAGTCTCCCAAAGTTGGTATCTCAACACCAAAATCTGCTCCTTCTATACTTGGACAAATTCGACCCTTCCTGCCTGTGTTCAAGTAGCCTCCTTCTTCCAGCTCCTTATGGAGTTCTAGTTGGAGTCGAGAAGTGCTTGATGGCTTTCTAGAAAGCTTGCAACTCGTACTATCCCGACGGGTGAAATTCCAACCATATGGAAACCCAGAACTCAAGTTATAAGGGCGGGAAATAGGGTTCTGAACACGAGATTCAAACTCATCAACACACTTGAGTTTAGTTTCCATTCGATCCGTTGAGCTCCGAGATGAGACCTCATCAGGCCCTCCCTGTTGAAAAAGCTTTGCCCACAAAGGTTGAGTAGGCCTATAGCGAAAACGATGCAAGGTAGCTTCCCAAACAGGATCCCAAAAGTCAAATTTGCCTCACTTTGGTTTGATCCGCCTTTGATCTTGAATTAGATGGTTTATGGTGATCATTGGGGCGACAAATTCTTCAGACAGGACATAAGTTGCTATCCACACGAACTTTCCTGCAAATTCCTACAAAAAATAGGAATATTTTGGAACTGGAAATTTCCCAGTTTCCAGTGAACGGCGATGAAACTCCGGGGGAAGTCCCAAAATTGGGGATTCTTCATACGGGCTTCGATCGTCCTATTCGTGGTACCCAAGAGGTGTGCCAGGATCCCAATTATCATCCCCACACAGCGCTGAAGTTCGACAGTGCTCCATACTAAACGAAGAGCCCTCCAAGTGATTCCCGCGCTTTTCGTTGTCAAACTCCGGTGACCGGCAAATTTGAAAAGCCAAATTGGGGCTTTCTTTCTGGAGCAATTTCAACCGGGTTTCTTGTTGCGACACGTTCGTGATCCTTCCAGCAACGGATTCCGCCTCTCAATTGACGCAGTACCCTCTTGGAACTCCAAATCCGACTTCGGGTTCTTGGCATCGAAGAATAGCCTTTCTAGGCACGAAGAACTCCACTTCGGAACCAAGGTGGTTAGGGCAGTGGTTCCACTTTGCCAATCGCTGGAGCTTGTTGGGTGAATTTGAGGCGTGACCACACCTCCCGTGACTTCCGTAGTCGCCACCGTAAGTCCACGCCATACAGTTTGTTTCAGGGGAATGGCAAAACAGGGCAGCTCTCGCCGTTGCCAAACTTTGAGACGGTGACCCTGTAGACTCGTCAACAGGTATCTCTGGGCCACCAAAGTCTGTTTAGGTCGCTTCGGGGAGGACTCTGAGCTATTGCCAAGCTCTGTGAAGCTCCGCGCAATCTTTCGTTGATCTTCGATCACCTCATACGGAGATAATGGCAAGAGTTCCAACATCATTCTTCCATGGTTGAAAATATACGAGTTGGTACCGCCATTGTGCATTGCTTTCTTGTCATACTGCCATGGACGCCCTAGAAGAAGATGGGTGGCCTGCATTGGGACGACATCGCATTTGGTATTGTCCATGTACGTGCCGATCTCAAACGGAACGGTAACTCGCGCGTTCACCCGAACTGATCCACAATCATTCAGCCATCTCAAATTATACGGTTTTGGGTGCTTTTCAGTCTTCAATCTCCACTTCTTCATTGCTTCCGCACTAACTACATTCACACAACTACCTCCGTCAATGATCGTAGAGGCTAAATGTGTGTTTACCTTGCAGCGGATATGGAAAATGTTGTGCCTCTGATTTGCTTCTGCCACCGTGGAGATGGTGTGTGCTCGATGATTGAGGAAGTTCCCTTTGGGAGGCTTGATTACTACTGGATGATCATCTATAAGAGGGCCAGGTGGTGTTTCTACCTCAATTTCCTCGTCCACATCAGTATCTTCATCCTCCTTCTCTTCCCCTTTTTAGTTTTCATCAAACCCATACTCTCCATTGTCAAGCAAAACTAGTGCTCGCTTGTTGGGACAGTGGTCAGCTGTGTAACCCTTCCCTCGACACTTGAAGCAAGTGATCATGTCCATCTTCTCATTAGTATTAGGCCTGAATGGAGTTGGAATCTTATCTCGAACACTACGAACTGGAATTGGGGCAGCAGGTTCCGGTTTTGGGCGTGTAGCTCCATTGTTGGCAGGGAAGTTCCTGTTTCACCCTTGAATTGAGGCAACTGTAAGCGAGGCATTCGTGCCTGCTTGTAAAATCCGGTGGCCTGGAATCCTCCCTGCTCTTTCAATCGATCAGGGTAATACTCGACTCTATGCAACACAAGAGGCGTGTATTGGTAGTTTCCAGGGGGAGGATTTGTCTGGAATTGATTTGGGTAAAAACCCGGGGTAGTGTTCCCTGCTAGGCGTGGCCCTGTTCCGGAATCGAATGCCGCAACCGGCGTCGCCATTGAAGCCATCGACTGGGGAATATGGTACAGAGGAGGAGGGGTAACGGGATTCTGTAGCGTGAGCGCGTCGAGTTTGGCCAACACAGCATCAATTTTATTCGAATGTTCTTGGATGTTGTCTCTCTGTTTATCGAGCTGTTGTTGCAGGAACGACGAGCTTTGCTCCTGGATGAACGCCAACAACTCTTCCTTCGTCATCGCTTGTAAGTCACCCACAGAGGAATCCGCCATTACGAAAGTCTCCTTCTCTTTTGCTTTCTGGCAGCGAGTCTTTACCAGAGTGACGTTTGAAGTTGCTCCAGTGAGAATTTCAAGAACAGAGCGTTTTCCGGCGACGACGAAAATTTCAATATCAAGGCTCGCAAGTCCTGTGTTTGTACCAGGCGATGATGCCACTTGATATGATCCTGGTTAGATCACTGTCAGAGTAACCAACGCAGCTAACATGAATGGAGAAGTTTGCTTGTTTTGAAGCACAATCCGAATGTGACGACGAATCAATCAAACAACTTTCTCGTGGGAAAGAGGCTCAACGATTTAGGGTAGAACTCCCACAACTGGTCGTGATTCACTTGCTGATGCTTGAGCTTGATCTCGAGCTTGGATTGAACCCAAACACACAATCAAAACACGTTCAAACGAAGAACATGAATTAAAACGAAAACAACGTATGTTTAATCTTTTTTCTCTCTACCATTACACGTTAATTGAAAGCCTTTAAATAGACAATGGTACGCTACGAATCATAAGAAAGACTATCCTAACCAAACAATGAAATGTAAACTTAAACAAAATCCAAAAAGAACAATGAAACCAGAATTTCAAAGAATTCGAAGATACAAATTGAAAGATTTTTCTTCTTTCAATTCTATCCGGGGATTTTTTTTAATAGAATCTTTCTAGTTACTTCGTTTTCTATTTCTTCTCCACCAAGTAAGTGCCTTGAGCTGCACATTTTTAGTGTACTGGGTACCAACTTGGGGCTCTTAGAAAATGGGGTAAATCGCCTTGTCAAACTCATCCAACACCTTCACGTGGAAGTAGAAGTTTCCTTCTTTCGTTTGCAACTTCCAGCTGGTCCAAATCATCTCCCATCAACGAGAACCAGTCTCCCAAAGTTGGTATCTCAACACCAAAATATGTTCCTTCTATACTTAGACAAATTCGACACTTCCTGCCTGTGTTCAAGTATCCTCCTTCTTCCAGCTCGTTATGGAGTTTTAGTTGGAGTCGAGAAGTGCTTGATGGCTTTCTGGAAAGCTTGCAACTCGTAGTATCCCGACGGGTGAAATTCAACCATATGGAAACCCAGAACTCAAGTTATACGAGCTGGAAATAAGGTCCTGAACACGAGATTCAAACTCATCAACACACTTGAGTTTAGTTTCCATTCGTTCCGTTGAGCTCCGAGATGAGACCTCATCATTGTCTACATGATTGAAGTCATGAACGAGCCATTGAAGCCACTTTCCAAAGATAATGAATATTAACCCTAGTTTCAAAACAAAGCTCGAGAAGTAGTACTAAATAATATATTTTGGAATAAAAAAATTATAAATATTTATTTCATAATTAACGCTTTGAAGGTAAACAAGATGCAGGAATGGCCAAGCCACACAATCCCAAGAACCCAAAACCGAAAGAAGAAGTAAAGATAAAAGAAGCCCTACGATTGAATTGAAATGAATTGATAGCCTACTAATCGAATAATCTACGTGTTTCACTGCCTATGTAGTAATTCCACATCGCAATCCAAGTTTGCGGTGAGAGGTCCGGCCGGCGCGGAAGACCCGATCTTAAACGGATGACAAGCAGCTCGAATATATCTCTTGTGCCCCTCAACCTTATCTTTTTTATTCAGGCGCCGAAACGAAGCCAGTAGCTGGAATCCGAAATCCGCGGAGGTGCCATTATCCATATTCTTCTGATCATACTGGAGGCGCAGGTTTAACATGGAGTGGCGGTTTGCATAAAACGGCGGCAAGCGACCGACGGCAATCTGGTACTGTTGGTCGGCGGCCACTTCATTGCGCAGGACTGAGGCCTTGAAGGCATCTTAGTGGAGTCTGGCGGTGACCTCCTCGCAGGGGAATGCCACGTCGAGGGCAAGCTGCAGGACCCCGCCGCCGTCCGCGGCCGAGTAGTTACCGCCGGTGATGAATGCGGAAGCGAGCATGACTTCCGGCCTCGAACACCTCTCCACTTCATATTGGACAATAAATATTGCAAGGAGTGCCAAAAGGCCAAGAGCTGGTGCGAGGAGCAATAGACTGAAATGAATACTAGTGGGGACGTTTTGGAGTCGGGGGTCGTCCCTGATGCTGAGTCGCCGCCGCTGTTGGCTGGTGTTATCCTCATGCTTGGTCTCTTGCGATGAAATCAGATAGAAAACTAGGGCTAGGGCAGGTAATATTATATATATATATATATATATATATATATATATATATATATATATAATAATCTACAATAGTAATATTGGTTGATATTTATTTATTTATTGGTATGTTGTTACCTCCAGTGCGTGCGGTTATTATCATTTATGTTATTTTCTTATTACTATTATCATTTTCTAGCACAGGACCCGGCCCGTTGGCCAGAAAAATTTTGTCGATAAATATGATATATAATAACGGATATATAATATATGATTTGCAATGAATAAAATGATTATTTTCTACCTTAGTTATGCACATAACATATTTAAAAGAGAAAAAAATATAATATAAGTATTACTTATAATTATTAAATGAACAAAGAAATAAATATAACTAATTTTCATTCATTAGTTAATTAAACCATATAGTTGAATATTAGAGTTGTTTCTCATAATACATACATAATCAACCTTTAAGATGAAAGAAAATGTCTCGCCTAGAGTTTAGTATGTCATTTAAGTTTTTTCCAATAGAGAGCATTCTTTTTACCACACCGTTGGTAGTGAATCTAAAATTGCTTGATTTGAAATATATAGGACATGATACTAAATTGTCGCTAATCATTAGTTGGACAATATGTTGTGTATAGACTTCCAAAATTATTCTCAGCAAACATGTCTAGCAACAATGTAGTAATTTTCATGCAACAAATATTTTTTCATGAAATAATTCAATTAATAAAAACCTATGAAAATCATATTACATGAAATATATATTACTCATTAAGTTTATAAATGAGCGAGGGTATAAGTAACATATATTTATTTTAAAAATATAGAAGTTGCAAAGTGTCTTTTGGGTTGAATGAGATCGCATATTCTCATTATCACTAACTGACTGATGCTTTTTTGCAATAGATAGTTCAAAATGTGCCTTAAAACTTTTGTTATCACGTAAAAGAATTGTTTGACCAAATGATTGTAATAGTATCAAAAAATTTGGTAGTAGAGTATTTTATACTGAAATCATAATTTAAATGTGGTTCAACCGTTTCATATTGCTAAATATCACATATCGATTTAGCCTATGGTGTGAAGTTTTTTGGTCGAACCGCCAGTACATATGATATTTCAATTAAAACTTTAAATAAAAAACACTAAAAATTGACATTATCAAATACCCTTAAATCTCATAAATTACCATAATCGTATTAAGAAAAAAAAATCATCCAAATGATAATATTGATTTAGGATTTTAATGGGTCGTTTGGAAGTTGCGATTGTTAAATAGATGTTTTGTTGTGAATGCATGTATAAAATTATATATGTATTGTTGGATTAGATGCATTGTGTATGTCACATATGCTAAAAGCTGAGACAAAACAATCTCAACTGACAACTATCTCAACAATCACAACTAAAAGTTGAGATATAACAATCACTCATTTTGAGTGAGAGAATTTTACTTCACATCACATATGTAATCCATGTATTGTTGTTACTAAAAAATAAAAAATGATACATTCTAAATAATACATTATAGTAAAAATCTCAACAAAACAATCACAACTTTCAAACGACCCCTTAATTGAATGGAAAAAATCTATCAAATATAATGTCATCTCCTAAAATAAATCAAAACTCAATAGGGCCAAGAATACCCACTAAGCAAAGCAAAAGGATAATTATTCCACACTACCTCATTTTTCCCCTCTTTTAAATGTGTCCTCTCACTCTCTCTTATGTCCCGTTCACTTGCCATTTTGTTTTCTGTTTTCTGGTGTGACAACAAAAACTCAAAAAACAAATGGTAAGAAACGTGTTCACTTGCAATTTCATTATCGTTGGGAAAAAACCATGGGAAATAAAAGAGGCAGCTAGCGGAAACAATAAAAGATCGTTTGCTCGAAAAAGAGGGACGGAATTTCCCCGTTGCCCAACGAGTTACGCCCCCATTCCTTTTAATCAGCCCAGCGTTGGAATCACTCGGCCACTTTTTTTTCCTTTTGTTCGCTTAGACCAAAGTTATCGTTTTGCTAACCCCAGCTCCCATCGTTCTTCTCCCAGCCTCCCCCAAACTCGACCTCCCAATCGAACGAAGCTGCTACAATCCGCCTCTTCTTCTTCTAGCGGAGGGAGAGAAGATCGATTCGGCGAGCTCCTTCTCCAATCGGCGAAGCTCCAGCCGGCGAGCTCCTTCTCCAGTCGGCGAACGATGGGTTTGCTTTGAGATGCCGGAAGGTATTACATGTCCACCGCCTAAGTTAATCATTCTCAAGGGCTTAGATCCTCGAGGTCATATCAATAGAGGTGTGGATTAGGCTGGATGAGATGGTGATGGCTACACTTGCCCAGCAGGTTCTCGATAATCCTTTTTGTTTTTCAGTTTGTTCTTCCATCTCTCTCTCTCTCTCTCTGAACTTTGTATCTCACCGCTCTCCCCCTTTCCCTTCCTCTTTCTTCTCACCGCCTGGAATCGAGAGAAACCTAGAAACATCCCAATTACTTCTCCAAGTTTGCGTTCGAAATGCTTCTTCTCCATTCACAATTGATAGTATAAATCAAAGGACCTGAAACATGGCGAACAGATGGCCGCTTATTCCTCTCAAATGGGGAATTTCTCCATAAAACATGAGTTCACCAATCTAGACTGTGTGGTGTTCGCAATTGTGCGCGAGCTCTTGAAGTTAAAGTCTGGTACGACCCATGAAGCATTCATACTTGTATAGGGCCGATCCATATAAATTGTCTTCATGGTATGCTCTAATTGTGTCATGCTAGCTCGACCATGTGCCTGGGTATAGTCATATGCATTATAATAATTAAGTTTTTACCTATTCGCAACACCAAGATAAAAAGACAGTCATAAATACACCTAGTATTTGATTTTAACTATCTAATAAAATACTACATTTGAACCAACTACCACTGAAGCCAGAAATAATAAGTATATCTCAAAATCATACATAACATATTTCAAAAATCACAAATGTTAAGATTAAATTAATTATTATAAAGAGTAAAAATTGTATAATGAGGTTAACTATAACTCATTTATATGTTAATACCCTTAAATTGGTCAACACATCCAAAAATGGCTAAATGAACATCAAATTAAATCCAATATCGTCTCATTATTGTCGGGTCCATTCATTCCAGATTAGCAAGAGGTTTAATGTTTAGTAATTAATCAGGCTAAAAATTTAGAGAACCAGTCACCTATAGTTTGTACAAAATATTATTGTTTCGTAGAAGTTCTGCAAAATTTATGTAAATTTAAAGAATTCTACATCTCTTTTTCATATTCAATACTGCAATTCGATATGCAATATTTCAAGCATTGAAATTTGTGTTGCAATTTTAAGATTACCCGTCATTTTATAGGTTATAAAAAATTATAAATCACGTATTAAACTTTGTTTTTCAGAATACTTAATAGGCTAGCTAACCGTGTTGGAAAATTCCTCTTCTTTTCAAATCTTCGCTAAGTGTATGCTTACAATTGAAGAAGATAAACCAAATTATTATATCTTATAGAAAGTAATTAATTGTATGTGTGGTACAGTTTAGATAGAATACATGTGTGTAGCCAAAATATGGGTCTTCGTGACATATATAGTAATTTTTTGTGACAAATCTACACATAATATAAAGATAAATTTGGCGCTATGACGAAAAAGAGGTTCGTAGAATCACTCTCAGGCCACAAAATTTAAAAGGAAACTCTCATTTTCCAATTTTATCATTATATTATGTGTAGATTTGGTCAAAAAATGACTATACTCGTTACAAAAGTCCATGTTTTGGTTACACTTATGTATTTTGTCTAAACTTATCTAACCTAAACTACACATACAATTTAATATTAATGTTTGAATCAATGTTACTTGAGTTTCGATTTTAGAACTAATGTCTTTCTATAGAATATAAATTAACTTAAGATAAACTATAAATATAGAAGCATCATCGTCAAACATATTCCTAGAGTTTAATAAAAAAAATAACAATAAACACAATGTAGTCTAGTTGGTTATAATGCTCTTTCTTCATTTAAGTGACCAGAGTTCGAACTCCAATGATAATAATTTTAAAATATAAAGATGAAGTGAGTGCAATGACAAAAATGACCTTACTAGAATCACTCTCAGAAATTTGAAATGGGACAATTCCAACCCATGTTTTGCCTTTATGTATCTTGTAAATATTATTGTTACTTTATTAGTAGCATTAGAGTTTGACTCGACCAATGAATTTTGTTTTGATAAGTTTTTAATTTTTAAGCGTTGATTGCAATCATGGTTGTCATCCCGGTGGCATGCCACCCGGTTGAACCTGGTTCAACCTGGGCCGGTCATGAAATCGGCATGACACCACCGGTATAACCGGTATGATCGACTTACGCATTCTAAGTAAAAGGACATCATTTTAATGAATTTAATGAATAAAAAAACAATTTATTATTCATTTTATGAATGTAATAGTTAAAAGTTGATGATATTTGTTGGATTGTAACTAAATTGTCCACAAATATGTTTTATATATGATTAAATACATTGGATATTAATTGTTTTCACATTTTATTAAACCGGCATGAACCGACACAAACTGATTATACCACCGGTCGTACCATTCCATTTGCCAAACCGGCACAACCGTATAAACCGGTTTGACTGATTGCAATTAACTACAAATTTGTAAAGGGAGGGTGCAGTTGTCATTTTGAAAAAAAAATATGTGAAGCCCTTTCAACTACGCGTAGTTGCCATGTGGGTGCAGATTCATGGCATTCATCAAAATCAGAGGAGCGAGGAGAACATGGTGGCGATAGGTACTCATTACTTTCCAGGGATGCTCGATCTGGACAGAGCTAGCTTGGCTTTCACCGGGTACAGGAAGTTCCTAAGGATTCTGGTGGAGGTCGACATTGAAGAACCAGTATCGATCGGTTTCGACTTCCCATTCACAGACGAAACCACGGGAGACGAGCATTGCGATGTGATCGAGTTCAAGTATGAGAGGTTGGTGGAGCTGTGCTATTTCTGTGGAAGAGTTGGCCACAATTGGCCGACGTGTTGGAGGATGAACGAAGAAAGGAAGAGGAATGGAGTCGCGTACCTGTCGGAGGTCTACAACTCGTCTCTCAAGGCAAGTATCGATTCTCCATAGACTCCAATCAACCAACTACAGAAGCAGCAGGGAAGGGGAAGGGTCACAGAGCTATTGGACAGGCAGGGAGAAAGCGATCTCGGGAAGCCAAAGTAGACTGGAAGGGGCTGAGGGAAGAGCTTCGACCGGCTCGGAGGGCAGAATCTCGGAAGGGAATGTTCAAATTCCTCCAGGGTTTACGGTGAGAAGGCTGGAACAGGAGGTCCAAGGCGAGGAGGAACAAGGATCGAGGGGAAGGTGGAGAGGGAGATACAGAGAAGAGAGGGGGGCGACTAACCTGAATATGGAGATGGACAAGGCGGCGGCGACGATGGAGGTAGGGCTTCGGTTGGAGGAGGTGAGGGTCGATCAGGAGGTGGGGTGGAGTCCAGTGAGGGTGGAGACAACTTTGTCTCTTGGGCCAACCCAACCAATAATTCCAGCCCAATGCCCACCACAAGCAGGACCAAATGGGATTAATGAGTATCAGCATATCCAAGATGGAAGGGAAGAGGAGTTGGGCCGAAAGCAAAAGAAAAGGAAGGGAATGGGCCTGTTGTGTGGTCTCAGGACCAATGCCGAGTTAAGGGAAGAAGAAGTGGTTTTTGATGGGCCAACGGGAGTGTTTGAATTGGGTGGGCCGGGGACTATACCCAGAAGGAAGAATCTGAAGGTTAAGTCCGGGAAAAATAATACCTCCAATGGGAATCAGTCAAAAAGCGAGCAGGAGGGCCAAGGAAAGAAGAAAAAGGCAGCGGTGGTTCGCCAGAAGCCACCTCTTCAAGAATTAGTATGGTAAGTTGGAACTGTAGGGGTTTTGGCCCAACCCTTACAAGAAGTTATGAGAAACGTCTGTGTAGACGTTTAGGCCCTTCGATTGTTTTCCTCATGGAAACGAGCAAAAATGAGATATTCATGGAGGAGCAAAGAAGAAGTCTCAAAATTTTCCCCAACAAAGAGTATGTCGAATCGGTTAACTCTTCTAGGGGTTTTGCACTTTGGTGGAGAGCGGGTATTAGTATTAATATTATAAGTAGTAATAACTATTATATGGACTGTAGTATTGATATGGGTAGGAAGTTCTTCTGTACTTTTGTTCATGCACCCTCTACCGCGGTTAGTAGAAGGGATTTTTGGGAGCACCTGAGCTCTCTTCGGAGTAGTAGGGAGGATAACTGGGTTATTGTTGGAGATTTCAATGCTGCTATTTATGAAACTGAGAAGGAAGGGAGATGCCCTCTTAGGTACGAGAATGTTGAACCGTTTAAAAGATTTATTTTCGACAATGCGCTTATTGATCTAGGATTTAATGATGATCCCTTTACTTGGACCAATAAACGAATAGGCGAAGATACAACGAGAGTCCGACTTGATCGGGTATTGTGTTCGACTTCATGGAGAGTCCTCTTCGGGGATGCAATTGTTTTCCATGAAAAGATGGTGGCATCGGATCATTGCCCTATCAGGCTTGAACTATGTTTTAGAGGGAATAGGAGGAGAAAGACACCCTTCAGAGTAGATGAAAGATGGTTGGATAAGGAGGAATGCAGAGATAGTGGTCCGAGCTTGGGATCCAGGAGGGATATCGACAAACCAGCTGGCCAGTGCGAGCAAGATCTTAAAGAATGGTCAAAAGACTTCCATAGGAACAGCTTACAAAGAGAGAAGGATATACTAGAGCGAATGGATATTCTACAACGTCCTCCAAGAACCCAGGAAAGGGTGGAGGAAGAAAAAGGACTCATCGAAGAACTGTCAAAGATGTGGAGGGAGGAGGAGGAGTTCTGGAATCAGTGCTCAAGAGTAAGCTGGCTGCAGAAAGGTGATCGGAATAACTCGTTTTTCCATTCTAGCACGATCCATATGAAGCATAAGAATAGAATTATCAGACTCAAGGATGAAAGAGGGGAGTGGGTGGAGGATGAAGATAGGCTTAAAGGTACGGCCCAGGATTTCCACAAAGATCTCTTTAGAGCTAGAGACCGTATTCCCTTTTCCCACCTTATGGATGGTTTCCCAGAAAAGGTTACAGATGAGATGAATGCAGCTCTCGGTGCCCCAGTGACAGGAGAGGAAATTAGGAAAGCTGTTTTCTCATTGGGAGCAAAAAGGGCTCCAGGTCCGGATGGTTTCTCGGGTAGGTTTTACCGGAGATTCTGGGATATTGTTGGGGAATCGGTGTGTAGAGAGGTAAAGGATTTTTTTGAAATGGCTGCTATGCCGAATGGATGGAATGATACACATATCGTCATGATTCCTAAAGTGGACTACCCAAAATTGATAAGCTAGTTTCGACCTATCAGTTGCTGCAATTTTTTATATAAAATTATATCGAAGATTATGGCAACCCACTTGAAGATCTGGACGCCTGATCTAATCTCGGAGCTCCAAACTGCTTTCACCGGAGGCCTACTTATCCAAGACAATGTCATTATTGTCCACGAGGCCCTACACCACTTCAAAAACCATAAGAGGAGAAGGAGAAGGGATATGATGCTCAAGTTGGACATGAAGAAGGCGTATGATATGGTGGACTGGGAATGTCTTGAAACGATGCTGAAGAAATATGGTTTTGATGATAGATGGTGTAGATGGGTTAGCTCGTGCATCAGGACGATCAACTTTTCCATCCTTTTCAATGGGGAAGCAACAGAGGAGTTCAATCCGTCAAGGGGAATCAGACAGGGAGACCCTCTCTCTCCTTTTCTTTTCATTCTAATGTCTAATTCTCTTACCTTCCTAATTGACAAAGCGGTTTCCCAGAACCAGTTAAAGGGTATAAGGTTGAACGCGAGATGCCCGATTCTCACTCACTGCTTGTTTGCAGATGATACGGTGATCTTTGGTAAGGCTGACCTTCAAGAAGCAGAGAAAATATTGGACCTTATAAGAGAGTATGGTACCATCACGGGTCAAGAAGTGAATATCAACAAATCATCTGTTTTCTTCAGTGCGAATGTACCCGAGGTGGACAAAGCTGCAATCATTGGTCACATCGGGTTTGCCTCGTCTAACTGCCACACCAAATATTTAGGAGTACCAATGGAATGGGGAAATTCAAAGAAGGAAACTTTCCAATTCCTGATTCAGAGAATGGAAAAGATGGGTGAAGCATGGAAAAGCCTCCTCCTCTCTCATGGAGGGAAAGAAGTGTTACTCAAAGCTGTCATTCAAGCTATTCCTTCCTACATCATGTACCTTTTTAACCTCCCGGTGAACCTGACAAAGAAGATGGACTCCCTCCTCACCAATTTTTTCTGGTCAGGGTCAATGCAGAAAAGCACAATGCACTGGTGCAGGAAGGAAATCCCATGTGCTCCAAAAGCTGGGGGGATTGGGATTCTGAAGCTTCAAAGATTTTAACATGGCCTTGTTAGCTAAACAAGCATGGAGAATCCATAACTCCCCTGAGCTCTTAGATCCGCATGTGTTTCTATCTTCTTCGTCGGAAGTTCCGGAAGCTGGTACCATTCAGAAGGTTGTTGACCTCGTGTATGCTTGTACTCAACATGTACCATCCATGCGGCCTAGAATGTCTCATGTTCACCAGCTACAGCAGTTGGGCCATCAATCCTCTGTTGTTTAAATGTAAGTTTCATTTGTGCCGTAGAGCTTGCACTTATAACAACAATAGATAGACCTGTCCCGTTTCGGGTCGAGGAGGAAGTGTATCTGTTCTAAACTAGTTTTTGTGATGACCTGTATCTTATTAGGAACCTCAATTGCATCCTTTGCTTGCTGTTTATTTGTTCATGAGTAGTCTGTTCTTCAGGTTTTTGCTATATTAGTCAAAATATAGCAGAAAGGAGTCGGACAAAGATTCTCTCAATTTCAGTGACCTTGGGTATGATGATAGTGATACCTTGAACTGGCTCAGAATTGCGTAAAAATGAAAAACTGACAGATGCGTACCCGCCCCCATTCCCATTATTAAATACCCAAATCCGTACCCGCCCCATACCCATGCGGAGGGAGGTTTTGCAAACCCGTCCTCATACCCATGGGTTTCGGATACCCATAGGTAATACCCGCCCCGTATAAGTAATATTATTATATCTAAAGTTCAACATGTATGTCTTCAATTATAACACAAAACATACATAATAAATAGCGGAAATCAACATAGTTATAGTATTTCTTAATAGGAAAAAACATTCAATCCTAAAATATTGATTAATCAATAAAATGAAATGAAATGAAAATATAATACTATATCAAATCATTCATCTTCGAATTTAACACATCTATATAGTAAATACCTAAAATAAACTTGTCAACTAGACAAAACCCTTTTTTGCTTCTAAAAGATTAAAGTCTACTAGACTACCAATTACTCAAACACACTAAGTTCCACCAATATGCATCAAAATAATTCAAATGTAGAAAATGATATGCAATGACCTATTACTATCTCATCAACAATTTTGGTAAGGTGGTCATCTCCAAGATGATTCAGGAGTCAGGAGAGGAAAGATGGCGACATTGAGGAATTGAGAAAGTAAATTGTAGCTGGCTGAGAAGGTTATAATTTCAAGGGTTTTGATAAATATAATTATATTTTAATCATGTTTTCTTATTTAATTACCTTAATGCTAAAAATAATTTATAAAAATATATTTATAGCTTTTTTTATAGCAAAATACCTTGATGGGGAGGGTTTGGGTATGGGTATGAGGCGGGGGACGCTAAAACCATACCCGCCCTATACCCATCAAGTTCTTTGCGGGTTTTACCCATATCCACCCCATACCCGGTCAATGCAGGGATTCCCCGCGTTGACTGGGTCGGAGGTGGGCGGATACCCGCGGTAATGGGTTTGATTGTCATCCCTAAGCAATAGTTTAGCAATCAATCTCTTCCAATGAATGGTGTTGAAGAGCCAAATTTGGGATATTTGAGTGCTTAGTCTAGCACCCAGGAGACCCTGCAGACGCGCCTGAAACAGGGGAGGAGCTGCAAGCGCAGAGAAGTGACGTCGTCCCTGTGATTGCGCAACACAAGGTTTTGGGGCCAGTAGTGGATGTTTTCGACCGTTTGAATTAATAAAAAGGTAAATTACAATTGTATAGCCAAATTTTTTTTGTTTGTGCTAATAATAGTCAAATTTGGAGAAATACCACTTATAACCAGATTTTGCAGTTGTTGTATGACAAATCTAGTTATTTTCGTTGGATACTTTAACAGTGTTAGTAACACCGTTAAGTTCTTTAACAGTTCACTGAGTAGAAGCACACACATCAATGCCAAATAAGCTGAAAATGTCACAACATAATTTAAATTTATTTAATAATTACACGTCATAAATTAATTAATAAAAATAAAAAAATTAATTGATTGATTGATTGCCACATCTTTTAAGTTTTATTTTTAAAAATAATTAATTTTGAAATAAAAAATAACATAAAATATCACTTATTCCAATCCAACGTGGCAAAAAGGCAAATAAATTAACTAAAAAAAGGAAAATCTCTCCAAATTCCCCCACCTTTCCTTCCTTTTCTTCTTCTTCGTACATCTCCTGTTAAGCCTAAAAGAAATAGAACTATGAACTTTGCAATTTTCCGGGACGAGATACGGTGACAACCCCTAAGGGGGTTGTCAGATTCACAACCCACTTCATAGCCCTTGGATACGCTCTCTCTCTTGTCTCTTTTTTTTTTTTTTAAATTAACGGTTAAGATTAAATGAAGGATATTTTGGGAAGGGTAAAAATTTACCACACCCAATCATTAACCCTACCATATAAAAAGAACAAAAAACCCTAACTCCTTCATCCTCCCTCTCTCCCTCCTCCCTCTCTCCCGTAAACATCACCGTCCGCCGACACCCTCCCTCCCGCACCCTCCCCTTCTTCCCTCCCTCCACCTTCACTGCCGGCCAAGCTCCCTTTCTCCTCCTCCCCCGGCACCCCACCCACCACCAATCCCTCAATCCCCTTCCTCCTCCCACCGCCACCCCTTCCTCAAAGCCCCTTCCTCCTCCCACCGCCAACCACCACATCTCCTCATTGATCCTCCCTCAATCCCCTTCCGTGCGCCGTGGGAGGGACGACGATCTGATTTTTTGTTTGTCTCTACTGGTACCAATACCAGTGGCTCCCCTATCATCTGGTACCACTATCATCTGGTTTTTTTTTTTTTTTGTGTTATTCTCTACTGGTACCGTTACCAATGCTAGTGGTAGCGCTACCAGTGCTAGTAGCGTTGTGTTATTCTCTACTGGTACCGCTACCAATATGGTAGTGGTACCGTTGTACTGGTAGCGTACCACTAGTACTGGTACATTTTTTACTGGTACCGCTAGTACTGGTACATTTTTTAACGTCCTGGTAGCGTACCACTAGCACTGGTACATTTTTTACTGGTACCGCTAGTACTGGTACATTTTTTAACGTACTGGTAGCGTACCACTAGCACTGGTATATTAATTACCAGTAGACTAATAGATTGGTACACTTTTTAACGCATTGGTACATTTTTTTCAGGTTGCCGGAGGGAGTCTGCCGGAGAGGATTCGCCGGAGAAAAATTTTGTCGGTCGATGCGGAGTGGCTGCTGGAGAAAGAAAGAGAGAGAGAGATAGATAGAGATATTAATGTATAGGATTTAAATTTCAGAAAAAAAATTGTATTTAATATGGGTTTTTAATTCCCAATATAATTAATACAAAAAAGGTAATTAATATATTCCTTTTTCTCATACCCAAAATACCCTTGGTTGTGAATCTGACAACCCCCAAGGGGGTTGTCACCCTATCCCGTCCCCAATTTTCCTTCTTAAACAAAAGGTAATCTTCTTGTTGAACAAATGACATTCTTAACTATGAACAAAGGGAGCTCGATTTCAGAACAGGGCGGCCGCCGCCCCCCGGTACCTTCTTCCTTCTTCCCTCATTCTCCTTTTCTTCCTCTTTGACATGCACCAAATACCTGCAGCAATTCGCTAGTGAATAGAGAGCAGATCCTTAAGGCATCATCCCCTCAGGCGCTGGGAGTTGATCGAGACGGAAATCCAGATCCACAGCGAGGCGACCCTTCCGACTCCGTCGTTGCAGCGGCTTTGTTGCGCCGGTGGTAGGATGGAAGTCAATTGGTCGGCCGCCAAAAAGTTGCCAATATCCTCAGCACCGATTTTACCCTCCACTAATCTGTCACTGGTTTCGATAGAAGGAGAAGGAGAAGGAGGAGCGGCGACAAGGGGAAGAGTGAAAGAGGAGCAAATTGAAGGGAGGCAATTGGAACTGTGGAACTGCGGCGAGGGGAGATGGCGTCGCATTCCGCCGCTACTTGATTTCTTGCAAATCTGGTGGGGAAGCTCGATTTGGAGCGACGCCGGTTGGACTTCTTTCTTCTCCTTTCTTCTGCCTCAACGATGGTTAGGGACAACGAGCCACTGCTGGTGGCCTCGACGATCTGGACCTTTCACGACGGTGGAGAGGAATAACGACGGTCTTACGATGGGCTAGGAGGAGAGGACGATGGAATTCCATCTCTGGAGCGGCGACCGAGGGTACTGGGAAAGGGGAGAGAGAGAGAGAGAGAGAGAACCAAAAATAAATAAACAAAATTTATTAATTTCATTTTTGGTTAATTTCACCTATGCCGCCACATCAGTCTTTCTGCTAGTCCAATCAGCATGTTAGTTGACACCGTTAAAGAATTTGACGGAAGTGGCTATAAGTGTTATTTCTCTAAATTTGGCTATTATTGTCACAAATGCAAAAATTTTGACTATAAAAGTGTATTTTGTCCATGGTTCTAAAAGGCGCTAGGCGTAAGGCAGGCGCTTGGCTCCTGACTTGCGCCTTGCCCGATTAGGCGTAGCCTAGGCGCGCCTAGGCGTTCAGAGCATAAATGGAAAAATTCTCAAATATTTCCTGTTTTCTGGAATAATTCATATAATCCAAGTGCATATAAAATAAGCAATGCCTAGTCCATAACAGTAAACACTTAACATAACAAATAACAAGCAAATAGTACCAATCATCTGCTAATAGGTGCTTATAGAGGCAAGAAGCTTGTGCTATGTACCGAGGAGAAGGAAGGAGCAGCAATTGACGAGTTTCGACTTTATTTTCCACTATAGCAGCGGAGCGGTGTGAAGGCGAGAAGAGTGATCGATGACTTTCTCCTGCGGCGGCAGAGAGCAGCAAATGGGGCGAGAGCTAGGGAGGTAGGCGGTAGCAGATGGAGCGAGAGCTAGGACGGCAGGCGGCAGCAGATGTTACTTCCCGTGTTTCTGATTTTCTAGGGCAAGAGGCAAGTTTCTGATTTTCTAGGACAAAATGAAGAGTATTGGACAAACCCGCATGTGTGCGCTCCTACTTAGTGAACTGTTAAAGAACTTAATTGTGTTACTAACACCGTTAAAGTATCCAACGAAAATAACTAGATTTGTCATACAACAACTGCAAAATCTGGTACCGCCTAAGCTCGCCCAGGCACGCCTTCCCACTAGGCGCAAACTAAGCGCTATTCCTACCTACTAAGCGCTACCAGCGCCTTTTACAATGCCTATGGCCAAGTCAAAGCGATCCTCCACCGCCTAGCGCCTAATTGAGCCTAGGCGCGCCTTCTTGAACACTGATTTTGTCTAATAAAAACAAAACCAAACTTGAGTTTCAGCATCTCAATTCTTCCCAACGGCTATTTCAGCCTCAAACAACTGGTGTTTCAACTTTTCCTATAAATACAATACATTTTTTCACTATCACCACTTCCAAAAATTTCTATCCTTCTCAATCACAAAGAAAATTCATATCTTACTTCCATCGTTTGATCTTTGATTTAATCATGCTCTGGCTTCCATCTTTGAGAAGGTATTCATATGAAACATCAGAAGCTAGAAGCAGTCGTTGAAGCCACAATTCCCATTCTAGTTTGTCTTTGATTTTTTTAGAAATAACACTGTGATTTGTGAAAAGGGAAGGTAAAGTTATTCCCAAAACCGCCGTATATCAAAAAATAATTCTTGTTTTGAAAATTTATTTCGAATAAAAGTTGTAGTCCTTGAAAAGTTATGCAGAATAAAAAAAAATTTCACGACGTTCAGACTTTGGAGCACAAAGTTATGGTCGTCCAAAGTTTGACGAAATCGTAAAAAAGCTCATTCGGGGTAGCAAACAACGTTTTTTCGCGGAAAAGGCGGGACTAAACCGCCTATGACCGTTTGTGGCTTGCAAGATCTCAAAAAATTATGCGGAAGAAAGAAAAAATCGCTACGATCGGATACCTGAACACAATTATACGTTCGTTTAAAGTTTCACCTAGGTTAGGATTTATAAAAATAAAATTATATGGACCAAACCGTTGGGTGGGGCAGTGGTTTTGGACTAAACCGTCCCTGACCCAAGTGGTCTGCAAAATCTCCCCAGACCCAACCGCGCACCCACCCAGCGATTTTCGAGAAAGGATGCTATTTTTGGAATTTTTCGGGATTGGGTGCTATTTTTATAATTTTTTTAAACAATATTATTTCTGGTAAAAAATCTGCTTGTCTTTGACATTATTATAAGATTTTGGAGCATGAATAAAGGATCAGGAGATGGTCAAACTAAAGGGAATGGAAGAACAAGCTAAGAACGCTTGCAGGTATCCAAGTTGAGGAGACTGAGAATAGCTATTAGATATAGATAGGGTTGTTAATGATCCGAGCCGAGTTGAGTTTTGTTATAGTTCGGGTTCGGCTCGTTAATATATTTCCGAGCTCGAATTTGGCTCATGTTCGTCACAGGCTTCAATATGCAAGCTCGAGCTCGGCTCGTCAAATAAGTTTAACGTGTCCAAAATCGAGTTCAGCTCATAAAATATTCATGATAGCTCAATATTGACCTATAATGGAGCATAAAATTATATTCAACCTGTAGCAAAGTCTAGCAAAATAAAACACAATATTTATCCCAATTTCAATTCATAAAATCCATGAATTCTAATCCTTTATGATGCAAAACCATTAAATGAGCTTGTTCGCGAGCTTTCGAGCTGAACATGATATGACTCAAGTTCAGCTCGTTTAGTTAACAAGCTTGTTCTCGAGCCGACTCAATTAACACGAATAGAGTGTCGAACGAGGTTTTTTTCGAGTCGGACACCGAAAGCGATTTGGTTCATTAACTGAAATTAACAAGGTATTCCCAATAAAACAATTCAAAAACACTTGCCTTGGTGAATCTCAAATCCCACATACACAAACGGTAGAAAGACAGTAGCTTTGATTGGGATCATCAAGTATATATATACTCAACAACATGATGGATGAATCCCTGAACAAAGACACCCAACACCAACACCCTAATCAAGTTCATCAGCAACTCCAGTAAATAATGCCGTTAGAGCACCGAGACACCAATTAGGCGCAGAGTAAACTCAAGATGGCCTTCTTTCTTGGGGATCTATTCCGATTAATACCCTTTCCCTTGTCCAACAATGCTATGCTTTAAAAGTACAAATTGATGGAATAGGGCATGCTTCCCTCACTCAGGGCCCCGGCATATATAGTTGATGTTTCCTTTCTTTAGATCCAATTTATACAAACTCATTGATTCTCCCATGAAAGCTTCGTCGTCCCTTCCGAAACCCAGCAACCTGCACAGGTTGGGGTGTCGAAAAGGGGTGACATCTTAGGCATTGTCCCACGATTCTGCTTTCTCCATACTTTCTCATCACCCATATCTCAAAATGCTTAACTACGAAGCTTGTTATCCCTATTGAAAGGAATCTCCGGTCACTCCTCACCACCGCTATTGTCGACGAGTCACCAAACGCCTTGACACTCAATTCTAATTCCGATGTCGGGGCTTCTTTCAAACTCAAACCCTTGGGGAGCATGATCTCACTGAATGTTTCAGTTATTAAATCGAAAACCAAAATCGAAATCTGCTGCGAACTCCCGTATGTTCTGACTTAATTGACCATGAAGCTTGCCGCTCGCTAAGGCAAGATTCGTCTGACCCGGGATCAGCTCGTAATTGAGGGGAATCATGTTTGCTGATCTGGAGGACGACATAGCCACTGTCAAGACATTGAAATCGTCGGCGCCGGTACCGATTCCGAAATCGGTTAGCCGAACTTTGCGAGGATAGTAATATTCATGTCTTCCAGGCGGTAGAGTAACGGATTTACCAATATGAGGGTTCCAGAGGATTAGGTCTCTCCTGGCGGGAGGGCTATAAAAGAAGAGGCATGGCACACCAGTCCGTTGCAAGTGCCCACCACGGCGACCAGAGGAGACGACGCCGCCGCGGTAGGGAGCAGAGCGTGCGAGTGGAGAGCACAATTATGGTCGTCCAAGTGCAAGTAGAACTTTTTTCGGAGCTCGTAAAAGCATAGTAGAAGCGATTGGCGACGGCTGTCTACGTGGTTACCACCTCCCGTCGAAGGTCTCGAGGTTTTGGCTAGGTGAAGAGAGACGATGGACGGACGGGTAATGAGAAGGCGCCTCCATTTGCAGACAAAGAGGCACTGGAGCAGGGAGTCGGATGGCATTCTGCTGAAGATGTTCGTCCACAATTCTTCCGGTAGCCAATCGCAGATTTGCTGCTTATCGGGAAAGAAGCAGGGGAATAGTTTGGCGAGAAACGATTTGGATGACTGAATTGCTATTCGTCGCCCTACAATTTTAAAATTTTCGCTCTAAACCACCCTACGTTGACGTTAATACCCCTAGTTTTAATCCCTAACCCCTAACTTCCCCGCCGGCCAAATTCCGGCCGACCCCTGCTGTTCATCCAACCTACCGCATCTCCCATTCCCAAGCCACCATCGTTGTTTCCCCCCCAGCCGCCGACCTGCTGCCATTGCAAAGAAGGAGAAAGAATCCAGCGGTCGGATTCGGTCGCTATGGCCATTCTCCTAGCCAGTCGACCCGCTGCAATTCCCCCAATTTGCCCACCTGCTGCAGTTGCCGATGAAGGAGAAAGAAGAAGCATGAGGAAGAGGAAGAGGTCTAGCGTTGGTCACCCGCTCCGAATCTCCCAATTCGCCGGCCTGTTGCTGTTGCTGAGGAAGGAGGAAGAAGGTCCAAGCGGGTAAAAACGTCGATTCTCCAATCCACTGATTCATCTATTTTCTTCGAGGAGCGTATGGTTTGGAGAAGGCGATTAATAAAGATATCAGCAATGCTGCTGCTGTGGCCACCAGAACCCACCAAATTTGCTCATCGTTTTTGCGTGGGAAAGCTGCAATTTCTTTCTCTCGTTGTTTTTGTGTGAGAAACGACTGCGAAAGGTGAGATTGATAACGTCCAGAAGCTTGGAAGTGACGACGATCGATGGACTTGAAGGAAACTATTCCTTCAACACTACCAGAAGCAGTAAAACAAGCCGCAATGGTTACAAGGTCTGCAATTTAAACATATTACATGCTGCCACTTTCCTTGCTGTCATTCATAAACTCCTCATGATGATGACGACTTTTTTGTTCAGGTTTTAATTTCATTTGCTTTAATCCTCGGGGATGGTCTCTACAATCTCCTCAAGATACTTTGTTGTACAGTTGCTTAGAACTTAGAAGTGACAACGAACCAGAAATTTCTACCATAAAAGTGACAAGAAAGGCATCAAGGACATTAGAGTAAATTTAACATAATTAGGGCGGCGAATAAGAATTTTTAGGGCGACGAATAGCAATCCCCTTTGATGACGGCTAATTATCATAAATGGTTATAAAACTATTCCTTTGTACAAAATGGCCACAAACTATTAAGTTTGCATATTTTAGTAACATTTGTTTGGACTAATAACAAAAAGATTTTGTCCATCTCCATCCAAAAGTATTGTAACACCCCAACTTTCGGGTTCAGGTTAAACCATAATAAATGAATGGTTGGATTAACGGTTATGTACAAAGGGTTGCAACCGCTGATTAGAAATAATAATAATAACTATTATTGTTATATTATTATTGTAATTAAAAAAAAAAAAAAAGATAAAGCCCGCCCAAGAGGGCATTTAGCTTTCATTAACCCTTTTCCCATCACAACAACAGAAAACCCTCAACAAAGTATGTTAGGAACGGAACAACAACAAGAACGAGGTTACCGAATCTGGAGCTAGGTCGCGGACTAGGTCGCTCTCTTTAAGACGTTCGCGGCACTGCCCTCGATGCGCACGGCAGACTATCAACCGGTCGTCTCCAGGATAAAACAACTCCTCTTATTACTCGCGGTTTTGTGCGAAAACCCGAGTTCTCTGAACACTCTCTCTATTGTGTTTATGCTAGTTGTGGTGTGTTTAGAGGGGCTGGGGAGGCGGGTATTTATAGGAGCCGAACCCCTAGGAATATACCCTCTTGCTTGGGGAATAAGTCGAATTAATTAAGGAAGATAATTACTTTCTTAATTAGAACCGTCGGTTAAGATTATCCTTAGAATATTCCTCAGATTAACCGATTAATAATCAATTATTATATAATTAATTTCGTTCTGAATTTCTCCAAAAAATATATATGTAGTCTCAAGTGAACCAACCGACCGACCGGTCGGACGGACAGACGGAACGCGCACGCGTGTGTGTGGTGGTCTGTTAGGTCCTCCCTCTCCCACAAAAGTGGGTCACCCCAAGGGGCATGCCCTTAGGAGAGAGGCTCCTATCTATATACACATTTCACCAAGTAAAACTACCAATGTGTTAGTTTTTCCACTTGAGACTCTATAGCTTTCAAAGCTATTCATATATAAATTTCCAACAATCCCCCACTTGAATAGTTTTGAAACTATCTCTAAGCATCAACAGTTCCATAAGATCGGGCATAAGCTAAGGTATCGCGAAGATTTGAACCATAGCGTAGTGGTTACACTTCTGATTTCATAAGGGTGACTCGTAGTCTTGAACCCTATCTCAGACAGTGTAGCATACCAGATCTTTTCATTGTGTTGTGTTCTCTTCTTAGCCCGTGCGTTTATGGCCATGCACGTTATCCTGGTTTAGTGAACGCTCTAGCAACTTTGTGCCTCCAAAGTTCCATAGGGAGCGGCCCCACTCCCACATTCACATAGGTGAGTCTATCAGGAGTACCCCCAAAAGTAAAGTACTCCACCCCACATGGGGTATAGATCTCATTAAGAGTTATTAACTCAACCTCCATTGCTTTGGGATTCATGCTTCACTATGCATGAACTTTTCGCATACTACTCATGACTTGTTATTACCCATTGAACCCATTTCTTGGGATCTCCAGTCTATTGGGTTGGGTTACCATCACTTGTAGTCCGTGGTTCGGTAGGCATAAGTCCAATACCCTTGGCGGTATTCTGGACTTTCTCTCTAGGTAATCCTTTCGTCAAAGGATCAGCTAGATTATGTTCGGATCTTATATGATCCACCATCACTGCTCCTATCGTTAGGAGTTCTCTTACAGTACTGTGCTTATGACGAATCTGTCGTTTCTTTCCATTATAGAACCGGTTCTCAACTTTAGCGATAGCTGCGGTACTATCACAATGGATCAATACCGGAGGGACCGACCTTTCCCATAGAGGAATCTCTGACAACAATCCTCTCAACCAACTTGCTTCTTCACTAGCCGTTGCTAGTGCTATCATCTCTGATTCCATAGTTGATTGAGCTAGGATTGTTTGTTTCTTTGACTTCCAAGACACAGCTCCACCATCGATGTTAAAAACATACCCGCTGGTTGCCTTGGAGTCATCAGATAGGGTATTCCAATCTGCATCACTATACCCTTCTTGTACAGCAGGAAACCTTTGATAGTGTATAGCAAGGTTTGCTGTTCTCTTGAGGTATCTCATGACCCTCTCTATAGCGTTCCTATGCTCTCTACTAGGACAGCTGTTAAACCTGCCAAGCAATCCCACGACATATGCAATGTCTGGTCGAGTGTAATCCGCAGCATAACGGAGACTGCCAATGATGCTAGCATATTTTGATTGTCTTACAATGTCTCCGGTGTTCTTAAATAGCTTTACACTAGCATCATACGGAGTACACGCATGTTTACAGTCAAAATAGTTATATTTCTTCAATATCTTCTCTATGTAGCTAGATTGATCTAGAGAATAACCATTTGTTGTTCTGGTTACCTGGATTCCAAGCATAAACTTTGCTTCTCCCAGATCTTTCACCTCAAAGCTCTCTTTCAACATGGCTTTTGCTTCATTGACCACGTGAATATTTGTACCAAATATCAACATGTCATCTACATACAAACATATGATAGTGCAAGTGTTATTTTCTGACTTGCAGTAAATACACTTGTCACTTTCATTCACCTTAAAGTCATGTGAGAGAACGAGAGTGTCAAACTTCTCATGCCACTGTTTTGGAGCCTGTTTCAAACCATATAATGATTTGTCTAACTTGCAGACTTTAGAGGCATGTTCGGGGATAACAAACCCTTCTGGTTGTTCCATATAGATTTCTTCATCTTGATCACCGTTCAAAAAAGCGGTCTTAACATCCATTTGGTGTACCACGAGATTGTTCAAGGCAGCAAGAGAAATCATAACATGAATGGATGTTATTCTTGATACTGGTGAATAGGTATCGAAGAAATCTATATTCTTTCTCTGCTTGTAGCCCTTAACTACTAGGCGAGCTCGGAACCTTTCGATTGCACCATCAGGTTTCCGTTTCGTTTTTAGAACCCATTTATTACCTAAGACTTTGCAGGCATGAGGTAAGTCTATTAGATGCCAAGTCTTATTAGCTTCTAACGATCCCATTTCATCTATAACGGCCTCATTCCAAAAATCTGCATCTATGGAAGTTAATGCTTCCTGCAAACTTTTTGGATCTTCGAGGGTGTATACTGTAGTAAAGTCATCACCAAAATCTTTAGAGATTCTAGCTCTTTTACTTCTTCTGAGTTCATCCTCAGAACCAACATTCCCACTAGTTCTGTTATCTCTAATAGCGGGTAGTACATTACCCCCACTATTTCTCGTTTTAAATGGAAATCGTGTCTCAAAAAAGTCAGCATCAATGGATTTTACTGTAGTACGAGCATTCAAATCATAGAATATATATGCCTTACTATTGGCCGCATAGCCAACGAAGACACATTCATATGCTCGACTAGCCAACTTAATCCTCTTAGGATCCGGAATTCTTACGTAGGCCAAACAGCCCCACGTTCTTAAATAGGACAGATTAGGTGGCTTATTCTTCCAGATCTCATAGGGTGATTCTTTTCTATTTGTTTTTGGAAGACGGTTTAGCACATAGCAAACCGTCAACAAAATATCACCCCACCAAGAAGAAGCAGCTCCAGAATTGAGCATAATAGCCACAACTAATTCTGTAAACGTCCTATTTTTCCGCTCAGCTTTACCATTCATTTCTGGTGAATATGGTGTCGTGGTTTCATGAATGATACCATGTGAGCTATAGAATTCCTTGAAGGGATTATAGTCATACTCTTATCCTTTATCACTCCTAAGTCTTTTTATCTTTCGATTGCACTGATTTTCAAATTCAACCACAAATACCTTGAACATGTCAAGGGCTTCACTTTTGTTTTTCATCAAATAAACAAAGCAATAATCAAAGCAATCATCTATGAAAGTGATAAAGTATCTCTTGCCAGACCTAGTTAACGTCCCATCTAGTTCACAAATATCAGAATGAATCAGATCTAAGGGTTCTGATTCTCTACTCACAGATTTATGGGGCGTTTTCGTTATTTTAGCTTGGCTACAGAAATCACATTTATCAAATTCATTCATTGAGAGTTTAGGGATATGTCCTAGCTTGCTTAAATTCTTCATAATTCGTGTGTTCACATGACAAAGACGAGCATGCCAAACATTCAAATCACACACCATGTAAACTGAAGAATTCATCTTATTAATTTCGACATTCAACTTGAACATCCCATTACATGCATATTCCTTTCGCACAAAACTCCCATTCTTAGTAAGGGTATACAAGTCTGCCCCAATAGATTGATTAAACCCAGCCTTATTAAGAAGATATTCCGAAACAAGATTCTTCCTTATCTCTGGAGTGTGCAACACATCCTTGAGAACCATCTTCTTCCCAGAGGTGAAGTTCAGCTCCACTTCGCCAGAACTAGCAACCATAGTGGTGTGAGTAGTCCCCAACAACACTTTCTTGTCAACAGGTGCTTCTATGTATGCTTTAAACATAGCACGATTTTTGCATACATGCTTCGATGCACCTGTATCCAGCCACCATCCTTCTGAGTCACCGGTGAGGTTAACTTCGGTCAAGTTAACCCTGGCCGCAGCGGCAGGGTTTTGCTTGTTCCTACACTTTTTTGCCATATGACCCGGTTTTCCGCAGTTATAGCAGATAAAAGGTGGGTCATTCTTAGAGGTTTGGGCCATGACCCTTTGGTTACCTCGAGAGGCACCATTCTGGTGGGGGCGGACCTGCTGGTTCTTACTCTTAAACCCTTTCTGGTTAGGTTTAAGAGCTATAGGGGTGGGTCGTTTAGCAGTGACGACCATCACCTCTTTTTTCGTATCCTGCTTACGGGACTCTTCCTCAATCCTTAGGCGAGTAATCAAGCTTTCTAGTGAAAATTCTTTGGTTTTATGCCTAAGCATATTCTTAAAATCTTTCCACGAAGGGGGCAGCTTATCAATAATGCAAGCAACTTGAAATTGATAGACCAGAGGCATACCTTCAGAGACGATCTCATGAGCTATTTTCTGAAGTTCGTGGGACTGAACTTCGACACACTTGTCATCCACCATTTGGTAGCGTATGTAGCGGCTGACAGCATACTTCTTAGCTCCAGCCTCCTCCGTGTCGTACTACTTTTGTAGCGCATCCCAGATCATCATCGCAGTGTTCTTGCTATCCGCATAGTAGTCATAGAGATCGTCTGCCAGGCCGTTGAGGATGTAGTTCTTGCACAGGAAGTCATGCTCCCTTTCCTTAGCAGAAGCAGCCCTCTCCTCATCGGTCTCTTCTTCCGGCAGCTCGACGGGCATGCTGGTGAGGCAGTGAGCCAACTTCTTGGTCGTCAGGTAGAACTCCATCTTTTGTCTCCAGCGACGGAAGTTGACTCCAACGAAGCGGAAGAGTCGATTGATATCGACAACACCAGATCCTGCCATGTTGTTCTGTTCAGTCGACATAGCAGCAGTCGAGCGTCTTAAAATTGTTAGGAACGGAACAACAACAAGAACGAGGTTACCGAATCTAGAGCTGAGTCGCGGACTAGGTCGCTCTCTTAAAGACATTTGCGGCACTGCCCTCGATGCGCAATGAAGACTATCAACCGGTCGTCTCCAGGATAAAACAGCTCCTCTTAATACTTGCGGTTTTGTGCGAAAACCCGAGTTAAACCTGAGTTCCCTGAACACTCTCTCTATTGTGTTTATGCTCGTTGTGGTGTGTTAGAGGGGTTGGGGAGGCAGCTATTTATAGGAGCCGAACCCCTAGGAATATACCCTCTTGCTTGGGGAATAAGTTGGATTAATTAAGGAAGATAATTACTTCCTTAATTAAAACCGTCGGTTAAGATAAATCCTGCGGGATTATCATTCGAATATTCCTTTTTAATCGATTATCCTTAGAATATTCCTCAGATTAATCGATTAATAATTAGATAATTAATTTCGTTCGGAATTTCTCCAAAAAATATATATATAGTCTCAAGTGAACCAACCAACCAACGGACGAACGGCGCGCGCGCGGGTGTGTGTGGTGGTTTGTTAGGTCCTCTCTCTCCCACAAAAGTGGGTCACCCCAAGGGGGCATGCCCTTAGGAGAGAGGCTCCTATTTTTATACACATTTCACCAAGTAAAACTACCAATGTGGTAGTTTTTCCACTTGATACTCTATATCTTTCAAAGCTATTCATATATACATTTCCAACAAAGCAGAGCAGTCGCTCCCCTCCCAGCAAAAGAAAACCCTTCCGCCCATCTCTCCCGGTTGCAAAGCAACAACCACCATCACTGAGTCTCGATCAACCGAGAGACAACAAGGAAGCAGCTTGTGGTCGGTTGTATAACTGAGAAAGCGCCCAGGTAACTAAATGGATCAGCTACCTTGGATCGCCATCCTTCCACCGAGAATCTTCTAGCAGGGGGTAAGGATCAGGTACGACAAGCAGCAAATCGGGTGAATGGTCCCTCGATGGTGGTTGAAGGGTAAGGGCTGAACCTCTGTAGGCCTTCATCGATTATGGGGTCACGTAAATGCAATGATGAATTGGGTCTCGATTAACTACTGATTATCCAAGAAGGTTCGGTTTCAATTGGAACCGGGGCATTTCTTCTTAATTAAGTACAAGTATATTAATCTATTTATCTTGTATGCATGGAGCTACATGGATGGATGGAGTCCGGCGATGGGGATCAGTGGACGGAGGTACCAGTACAACCAGGAACTCGGACTACAGGTAGGCGAATTTCCTTCGCTTTGATTCTAGGACCGGCTTGCAATTACTAAGCAAGGACTGACTGATTAAAAAGCTTCAGAGGAGAGCAATAAATTGATGATGCTCGAAATTCCATAGGTGGGTTATTTGCTACGTGGATCTTCATGGTTAAGTGGGAGGGGATACACACGCCACCAGAACCATGCAATAACTATACATGGAGAAACATTGGTAGTAGAAAGAGACAAAAAGGTTCATGTTAGCTAGCGCAAACATAAGGGTATTAATGAGCTCAGAGGAATTGGCTAGGGTTTGAAACCTGGAGAAAGGATCGTTCGTGGGAACTCTAGATATTGGCCGCTGCGATTGATCTTTTGGAGTAATCAATGTAAATGCATCGACTTAAGGTGAGTGTAAATGGGTAGATTTTATGCCTTACATATTTTCAAGTAGTTACCTTACGTATTTTAAGTATTTTGTGAAGTGGTTGATATGGTTGTTTATGTGTTTGGTTGATGATATAAGCCTTTTTGAATTATGACTTGAAATGAATGTTTATTATTTACTTTGAAATTTTACGAGTATAAGTTATTGTTAAAGTTTAAGAAACAAGTTCTTTTTAAGAAGTAACTCACCTTCAAGAAGGTGAAGTCGTTTTAAGTGTTTTAAGTCACTAGCGTCAGTCTGTTGCCATTTGAGATTTTCAGATAGAGCAACAGTTATGCTCTTGAGATCTTTGAGACAGAGCAGTAGTTATGCTCTTGAGATATTTAAGTTGAGCAGCAGTTATGCTCTTGAGATTTTTAAGATGAGCAGCAGTTATGCTCCTGAGAATTTTTAAGTTGAGCAACAGTTTCCTAGCTGCAATTTAAGATTTGAGTATTTTATTTATCAAGGGCATTTTAGTAAAAGTAGTACTCAGGCGGGTTAGAGTGTTTCAAGTGTGTTAGTTTACTTCCGTCAGCAAGCCATGTCATCAACAAATAATAATAATAAATCAATAAACCAAGCCATGTCATCAACAAATAATAATAATAAATCAATAAACCAAACCAATGTAGTCAAAAGCGTGTTTCTAAGTTAAAAATGTTTTGGTGATCTAGAAGCGTAAAATCGTAAATTTTTAAGTTTTAAAGCGAGTTTTTAACTACATAAGTTATAAAAACTGAGATTTTGTGTTGAAACATCTCAGCGAGCTGGAAACGTAAAATCGTAAGTTTTAAATCGATATTTTAACTACATTTAACCAAACCAATTATACCAACCAAACCAAACTCAAGTACTCAACCCCACCCAAAAATTATACCCAATAAAAATACAAACCCATTCCAGAATATACTCAAATTTGTTTCCCCTCTCTCTGTAACCCTAATCCGAACATCATCCTCATGATCCAATCCCCATATCTCAATCCAAAACTGCTGGGAAACCTCTACAACGAAGGGTTCTCTCCGATTCCATGCCTCAACCCCAAGGCATCCTTCTGTTTCACTAAATACTCGATTCTCCTTAGGACGTCCTCCAGTTTCCATTTCATCATTCTTTTCAATGGATTCAGAGAGAAGAAGAGATAGTTCACTTCATCGAACATGTCATCGGCTTCAAAAGACGGCATCTTTAAGCTCGTCGAGTAGCTTTGTGCCCACCCGGCCGAACGCTAATACCCAATGATTTCATCCAGTCCTTCAAACTTCTTCGCCTTAGTCGAATTAGGCTTCAGGTGAAGCAGATCTGCAGTTAAATAGGGCCCGCCATGCCGTAACCAAACCAATTACTGGAAAACAAATCGATTTCTAGGGGGATTTTTCACTTACTAAACGCAATTAGAGATGTTGGCGGGAGATTTGCAGGAACCTGGGAGGCTAACGGCGATCGATGTCCTCCAAATCTCTACCAGACTCGACTCTACCAACTGACGGCCGAGCTCCAGCTTCGACGTCCTGTCGGGCATAGCAGAGAGCAACGAAGAGGCGACAGTGGAACAGATTCTTTCTTGTTGATGGGAGAAGAAGAAGAAGAAGCAGAGTAAAAGTATTAAGAAGAACCAGAAGAAGAAAGTGGAGAAATTGAAAGAGGCTGGCGAACTTGACAAATTGCCCGGAAGATTCTATAACGTACAAGAGGCTTGACGCAAAGCCCTTTTCAAGTGTAGTTACGTTTGTCAGTGGGGTGGAGATAAAAAGTCGAAGAAGCATTGGTGGCAATGGAGAAGATTTCTGCAGCTTCAGCCATGGAATGGAGCATTGAGCTTGACAAGGGCCTTCGTTCGAGGAAGCCTGGTTAGTGTACTTGCTGAATCCCGTTTTCATAACTGATCATCATTGAAAATTGAGCTCTGTAATTATTCCTCAGGTCAAGCTGTCAAGGTCATACAACAAACCGGAGTCAGGCTCCAGCAGTGGGATCAGGAACCTGAACCCACAAAGGCAGCGCATAAGATATTTGACTTGGTTGCTGGGGAGGAGAGGTTCTTTCTCAACTGTATTCTTTTGAAGCTTGCTGATGCCTTCAGGTCAGGCGACAAAGATATAAGGGTTTCTATTGTTAAGGTATTTCTATCACTGTTCAAGATGAAAAGGAAAACTAAGCGCCAGCACAGGGTTATGTCAAAAGCCAAGATGTGCAATCCCTTGGAACTTCTTAAGAGAGTGAAGATTGTTTTTGATACTGGCGATTTAGAGTCAAGAGTTCTGGCTTTGGTCCTCTTTGGTAGCTGGGCTGAATTTTCCAGGGATAATGCTCATATCAGATATATAATACTCTCAAGCTTGGTCTCGTCGGATGTGATGGAGGTGAGGTCAGTAGTTTTACAAAACTGGTTTTGGGTGTGAATAGTGTGCTGTTGTACCATCGTGTGTTCTCATTGCGTTTGTTCTGCGTGCACTTGATATCTTCAGATTAGAAGGAAAGCTAGGATGTTTATTCTTAACCGTTTAAAGTGGCTTAGTAGGTGATGTGCTTTAGCCTACTCCCAGACCTTAGGCTGTGTACGAATTGTCCTTGCGCTTGCTGTCTGTTAATGTTGCTTGAGCCCCAATTCTTTTTCTCTCTTTAGTGGTGAGCATTTATGAAATGCTACAGAAATAGAGATCAAATGTTTCATGCTGACTCGATAGGATCAACTGATGTGTCACATTTATTTAGTACATCCCTCAATCTTTTATTACCTTTTGAATTGATAATTTCTGTCATCGGTATTCACAAATTTAGTTGCTGGAATTCCTCATCCCTTCTTTTCACCAACTAAGCTATCTGTTCAATCTTGATTCTGTTCTTACATGTAGTTCCTTATGAGAATGGCGGATTATGTTTGGATTCTTTTGTGTGTGCAGGTAAAAGCATCTTTGTTTGCTGCAGGTTGCTTTTGTAAATTTGCAGATGACTTTGCTCCTGTTGTCTTAGAAATGCTGCCTCGTATAGTGGCTTCATCTGAGCTATCATCAACTTTGAGAGCAGCTGGAGCAAATGTCTTTGCTGAAATGGGATACTTTTCACCTAATGCAATTAATGGATACAAGGTTAATTGCCATTTTCAATCTACTCTCAATCCACGTTCTTTTTGTCTGGTGATGATAACTTGCATGTAGCTGGGTTTTGTTTCTTGTATTATCACTGGCTTCTAATACTTCTAATTTCTCAGAATCGAGAGTATTAGAACTTGCAATCACCATAGAGCGATGGTTGATTTCTGCAGTATTTCCGGAGGATACATTAGTTGTAGCTTTTAAAGAAACGAGGAGTTGTGCATGTCGGTCTAATTATGTACAAGAGTTGTCAGTTTGGTGTGTCTGTGACCAAAAGTAGACGTATCCCCATACCATATGGCAACTGTAAAATATGGCTGATTGACAACAAGGAAAAAACTATAATAAAGCATGTCATAAACTTTCTGTACACTGCTATCAGCTCAATCCATAACATTCCACCCTAATAATTTCCGTATGAATTCGCCTGCTTTTTTTATACTTCCCGTGATGATGCATGATGAATAGCATTTGAAATTGTGTTATAAAGCAAGCCATATTTTTCATTGTAGATGGGTCTGAAGCTGCTGCTAAACTCTTCAGATGAGGATTTATCAGTCTCCTTGCTACTTTCGCTCTCAAAACTGGCTTATAAATCAAGCAGTATTCTACCTGATCAGGTTAGTGTTCCAAGTGTAATGTCTTGATATGAACCCTTGACTCTATTCCCCCTCACCCTTGACCCTGCATTTGCTGAAATATGTTGATGATTATCTTCTATATTGACATTGAACTCCTTGGAGTTGGGAATTAAGCTTAGTGATGGTACAATATACTTTTGCATGTGCAAATTTGCGAAGAGCTTGCTATGGCGATTATCTAGAAGCACATCTCTCCCTGTAAGGTTACTAATTTTACAAGTCCTGATGCAGGTAGAAGTGCTTTTGTCATTTCTTAGCCAAGAGAAACCTCTACACCAGCAATCAACAGCCTTAAGGTGCCTTCGACTTTTATCATCTCCAGTTTGTTCCCATCCTGTTGGCCTCGTAACCGTCAAACCCTTACTGAGGATTGTGCATGATACTAAACTGCCCATATCTATGCAATGCCACGCACTACAGATTCTGCATAAGGTTTTCCTGAATCCGAACTTCTGATTGTTCTTGTAGTAAAATTTTGTTACATATTTATTGTGGCTCTACTTGCAGATGTTTATGTACCAAGAGATGCACATGCCTGGTGATGTGATGCGTGAATTTTGTAAAGTTTCCACCATTTTGGATAATGCAAACCAGTCACATATAGAGTCCAACCGTGTTCTAGTCATCTCTGTCCTAGCAGATGTGCTCATTAAGAATAGCAGAAAGACTGGCACAGAGCTTGATGGCAACTGTGATTCTTTTCCTTCCCTGACATGGATCATCTCGACAATTATCGGTCAGATCATCTCACTGGTGAAGCAGTTGTTGGATAGTAATCAGTCCTGGGATGGAGCACTTCCAGAAGTACTAAGGTTGCTTGTTCTTCTTCTTTTTGTAACTGGAGAACATCTTGATCAGGGAGTCATTGTACTGGATAGAATTAGATTGGTAATTGATTATCTTGTGAACCACTTGCCCGAGAAGGCTATTGATTCAACAGTAACTGCTCCTCCACCTGGTCAGGAGATAGATCATTTTAGAGCTAAGAACTTCGGCACTAGTCTGAAGATCGCCAATAAAATTCACAAATTCTCAGTAGCGTGCATTCAGAATCTCATTGAACTTGGTGCCAATGCTGCTGAAGTACTAGACAAAGTAAAGATGTTGGTTGATTGTGTACACAGGTGCAGTTTATTTGGTTCCTATGTGCAGGCAGTTTACTCTATACAGGTGCACTCTTCAGTGTTTTGGGGTTGTGCTGTCAACAAAAACAAACAAGGTTGTAGTCCAAATAGGCAGTTGGGGGATTCGGATTGTGATCTCTTGATTAAGCATGAAATTTTTACCCTTGAGTGTGTCTTGGAGATGTTGAGAGAGAAGAGTTTCTGGCAGTTGTACACGACTGGAAAATTCGCAGCAGGTCAAGGAGCATGGGTCACAGCTAAATTTATATTTGAGCAAATAGCAAGCAAGGTTCGATCAGAATCCCCCTCTTGCTGGTTAAAATCACTAGCTCAGCATGCCCAATGTGAGATGAGAATTCAGTTGTTTCTCTTACCAAAACTAAGGTGCAGTTTAGCAGAGTGGTCACTAACAAAAGAGATCCCAATTCTCTCTTTCCGGAACATCTCTTGTGGCAATGTTGATCAGGGCATTTCTGTTCAAGTCCGTGGGGAAAGTTATGGTGAAGTGCTTGTAGGAGCTCACAACAGTATACGTTCTTCTGTGGAAACTCTGGATTGTGTTGTCAAGTTTGGCAATTCATTTTATTTCCAGAGATGGTTTTTGGCGTTGAGAATGAAGGTCCTTATAACTGTATATGATGTACTCAATGTGTTAGGTTCTGGCGGTAGTGGACATGCTGAAGGAAGTTTAGCACATGGTCTCACTTCTGTACAACAAATTACGCAATGTTCATTTCGTTTGACGAGACTAGCAAAAGAACTGGATCTACTCTGCATTTCTTTCATTAACATGGACACCAAAAGTTCAAACATCATCTCAGCCCTTGCTTTGAGTTGTTCACTGTTGGCTTTCACTACCGGGACAGCTGCTTCTTTTGCAACTGTGCATGCAAAAGACAATAGCAATTTGCATCTCAATAGAATGTCGATAGAAGACTTGGCTGGTCGATTGTGGATCATAGATCCCGACACCTGTTCTATTCTGTTCCAACTGTTGGATGCCAGTCTGGGTATAGACCATCCTCATGTCCAGCCTAGGAATCAGAAGCTGGAAAGTGGTGAAGTAAGAGATATCACCAGCATCTGTCAAGATGTTGTTTCTCGTGTGAATGAATTTCGAAACAAGTTAAAAAAACCAGTTGATAATCTGGAAGCTCTTCTCAAAGTTACTGTAGAAAGCTTCCAGCTTCTGTTGAATACTATTGTCAAATGGCTCCAAATTCCTTTCAAGCTCCCTATGTATTTCTTCAAAACAAGGTAAACACTATTTGGCCACCCTTCATCATCTCTTTCCTTAAGTTCGCAGGATTATACAGAAATGAAAAATCTCTTGATTGGATTTCTTTGCAGTAGGAGGCCATTTGGTTGGATGTATTTGGAGAAGTGATACTGACAATAACATGCAACTGAACAAATATTATCATTCTGAGTGTAATTGAGATAGTACATTTAGTCACAAACATACCAGGGGCGTCGAGATGAGCTCTACAAATATGTTTTTTTTTTCTTCTTTTTTTCTGCTGAACCAAACAGTTTCTGAGTGCAAATACACCTTACATGACAGCATGCAATTTTGACAAAACAACGTGTGATGTCTTTCCATTCAGTCATTTAGTTCTTTCCCTCGTGCTTGATATTTGTGTTCAAAACCAGGCCTTGCCTTGTCTCGGAGCTCTTCACCTCCAATGCTGATGCCACCAACCAAAATGAGTTGATAGTCCAGCCAGGATGCGATCTCTCTCTTAGCCTATGCATCCAACTTAAGAATGTGGCAGATCTCCCCACTCCCATAACGAAGCTATATTGCATACTCTATTCCAGCACATCTTTCGCAGAGTCCAGTCTAACCAGGAGAGGAACCAAGACGGGGCAAATCCAGCAGGTGGACTTCAAAGACTGGCACATCGACGACATGGTGCAGGCTAATGAGAAACTCTTCCGTCACATGAGAGTCCGTGCTAACAAGACTACTGATAGGGGCCGCAAACGTCCCAGGGTTGAGGAAGGGGTTGTTCAGTTTGAGGTGAACAACAGGGGGCAGGGGTTTTCAAGTTGCGTGCTTGGTGTATCTGGTTTTCTGGAGGGCTGCTACCGGATCAAGTGGCACAGCTGTTGTGTTGATGGTAGAGGTCGGTATTGGAGCATCCTTCCTTCGAATTCTGGACCTGTATTTACTGTGTGCAGGAGCTGAGGCTACATTTTGTAAAAAGTTAGATTATTTTGACTTCTGTAATTCGATGAAACGATGGTAAATAGATTCTTCTTTCAGACTGTCTCTGGTTCTTCTGAACCGTGAATGTGCTCTTTAACTGAGTTATGTATGGTTTACATTTTTTGATCATCCATTGACACGCTTGACGTTGATGCCTTCATTCTTCAAGCCAGAGATAATTAGTAAAGCTAGAGTTCAATGGAAATGGCAGAAGGAAGAATAAGGCCAAAACAACGAACAGAGAGCAGTTAGTACTTAGTACGTGATCTAGAACGGAAGCACACAAAACGAGTAAAGCTTGAGAGAGTAAAAATGAACGGAAGCGGGAAAAAACGAGTAAAGCTTGAGAAAGTAAAAATGTCATAAGTGGGATTTGAACAGAAGGAAGAATAAGGCCAAAACAACGAACAGAGAGCAGTTAGTACTTAGTACGTGATCTAGAACGGAAGCACACAAAACGAGTAAAGCTTGAGAAAGTAATAAAAATGTCAGAAGTGGGATTTGAACCCACGCCCTCTCTCGAGGACCAGAATGAGAGAGTAAAAATGAACGGAAGCGGGAAAAAACGAGTAAAGCTTGAGAAAGTAAAAATGTCAGAAGTGGGATTTGAACAGAAGGAAGAATAAGGCCAAAACAACGAACAGAGAGCAGTTAGTACTTAGTACGTGATCTAGAACGGAAGCACACAAAACGAGTAAAGCTTAAGAAAGTAATAAAAATGTCAGAAGTGGGATTTGAACCCACGCCCTCTCTCGAGGACCAGAACTTGAGTCTGGCGCCTTAGACCACTCGGCCACCCTGACAATGTTAAATGTTTGTCAGTTAGTTTATTTATACCTTGGTATTTATCATTTTAAATATATTTGATCGAAATGTAAGTGGGTATCTACTTTAGTTTTTGAGCAGGGTGTTGCTTGGTAGAGAATTTGTTGCTATAAAAGAATTCTAAGGATTCAGTCTTAGCCACGAATAAAAGCAGAGAGAGATATGAAGGGTCTATGCTCAATGGGAATAATTTAGGAGAATTTATTATATTGTAATTCACAATCTCTATTCGTTTAAATATTAGCAATTGAATTCTAGTGATCAAATTAACGATGAGAGACAGGTTTCTAAGAAGCACAATCTATATCATATATTGCATAATCACCATAGATAATTGGCAACAATCTACAGCTTAATCTCCGATCTATATATACAACAATTTGCCTAACCCATACCACAAAACTATAAATTCTTATACCAAGGAAAGTTCAACATCAACAGTTAAATTATGCCAAGAAAAAATTGTATACAAAAATTTGACAAATAACTTATACCAATGGTAACCAACAATAGTGTATACCAGATATTTCTAATGCATATAAAATATCACTCAACTAAAAAAAAAAAAAAAAACTTGTCAATCAGTATGAATAAAAAATCAATACCACATATACCATATCATTAAATGGGAAAACCCAAACTACTGAAAATCACAAGTTTCATGTACGTACATGAAATATAACATTGTAAATCACAAGTTTCCTGACACGTGGACACTAGCAACAATACTGTGTATTTGTTGATGAAAACACAAATATGTAACCAACCCAAATAATAATGTTTCTTCCACACGAAGCAATAATATCTATCAGCCAGCTTCCATTCCAACGACCTCTTGCTCTCTCTAACCAACCCAACTCCAATCCATCGCAATGATTATCGAAAAGATGGTTCCTTTCAGGAAAATTAAAGACACCAAATTAATAAAGTAGACGTACGTACATATGTTTAAGTAACAAAAGTTGCTTAAGAACAAATCATGCATGATGAATGATCACTTCCTTTATTTGTCTTTTGCTCTTCAGTCTTCACCCTACCGCTAACACAAAAGTTGAGTTCATAATCTCATTATTTCCAGTACAAGCATCAGGGTTTCTTTCATCAATTATTTTGGTCGTCGATGCTCCAGCGAACAAAGGTAGTCTAACACTAATGATTATATTCGAACCGTAATATATATATATATTGCGACAAGAAAATTGTATCATATGTGAAAAAGAAGACTAGAAGAGATTCCACTTCTAATGAAATTTTTTCTTTGTTATGGAATGTCTGCATATATAAAAGTCGTCACAGCAATAGCATCCTCTGAATAATTACGTTTGGTTTGGTCTTCATGAGCTTTGAGTTTTTCTAACTTTTTCCTAATGGAAACTCTCCTTGTTGCGCCAAGCACACCCACAATTGTCAGTGAGCTCTGTAGATAGGCAGAACGATAGAGTAGTGTATATGATGACTAATAAAAAGCCCTCATTTTGTCTTTTGATACTGTTCATTTTTTATTTTTGCTTTGGGCTCCATGCTTTTTCTCAGTAATACAAGCTATTATTAGTATAGGAGCTATCTCCTTTTTTTTTTTTTTTTTTATTATCTACCATCAAGTTTCATTTCATTTTTTCTTTAAAAAGGAGATACCAATAACATAGAACAACATAATCGATATGAGGCAATCCAAATTCCAAATCACAAATTCAAGTTAAAAGACTATTTGTAAGTGACCACTATTCTTCATTAATATTAGGCCTTTTAAGAAGGAATCCAAAAGCAAATTCTTGCGAGATTGGATCAAAGCAGGCAATAACATACTAATGGAGCCATCTAGTGTCAACATGTGGTATCAGAGCATGCTTCAAATCCATGGTGATGGACTTCATTGTGGACCATCATTTGGTGACTTTCTGGATTTGAGAACTTCGTCTGTTTGGCATATCCATAAAGATATGCATCTGGTTAGTTCTTGCATCGAAGAGCATGTCGATACAAGATGTTTGACGGATCAAGACAATCGCTTAGGAGAAGACCCAAAGTTCATGGTTCTTGTCTTGCAGAAGGATTATTATGAGAGAATCCAAGTACCACATCGAAAATACAAGAGAAAAGACCATTGTATTTAAGTGTCCACCAAACTCCATTACTACGAGACTTTTCAAAAAGGAACCCGAAAATAAATTCAAATGAACTTGATAAGCGGACAATATCATACTAATCCATCTCACCTCAAAGATACCGGTAATAATCAGTAGAAGATTACAAATATAGTAGTGAAATAGTGAATCAATGATTGAAAGGTAGAAATATACCAGTAATCTGTCAAATCCTTAATTAATTATTCATTCTTCCTTAGTAGCAATGCTCATTCCCTATGTTTGGCCCGGCTTTTATAAGTGCTTTTCGGGTTCAAAAGCTGAATCAGGGCCAAACACCTGTAAAAGCTCGGCTTTTGAAAAGCCAAAAAGCACTTTTGTATAACATAAAAGAAGAAGCTCTGATTTGGAGCTTCTGCGAAAAGCTGTTTTGAAAATATAAGATTATCCGTACCATATTTTAATTTAATTTCAGAAAATATAATTTTTCTTCAATTATATCATTTTAAAAATAAAATAAATTATAAAATAATATTATTTAATATAAAAGAAATCTAACAAGATCCATTTTGACTACTACTTTTTATTGTTTAGAATTTTTATTCATATTTTATATTATAAGTCCTTTATAGTCATTTTTAGGGGTGTCAGTTCGGGTCGGGTTCGGTTACCCAAACCGAAACCCGAAAAAACCCGAAAATCCGAAACCGAAAATCACTAAATCGAACCCGAACCCGATAAGGACTTGCGGGTTCTGGTTACCCGAAACCCGAAATTTTTTTATTGGGTTCGGGTTCGGTTAAAGCAAAACTGAAACCCAAAAACCCGAACGCCTAAAAATACGGGCTGATTTCTATTCATTGGAGGTTTTTAGCCGGAACCCGAAAAACCGATAAGCAAAACCGAACCCAAAATCGAAAAACCCGAAACCCGAAACAAACCCGAAAAACCGAAGATGTATATAATCTGGTCGGTTTCGGGTAAACCCGAAAAACCGAACCCGAATTGACACCCCTAGTCATTTTACAGAACCTCTTATATTAAAAATCACTTCTAATAGTTTTTACAGCAAACAATTAACTGTTTTTTTAGGGTAAATACAATTTAATATCCAAATCTTTCATTTTAAACAATATAATAGCCAAACCTTTTCGAAAACCATCTAATATCCAAATCGTCAACTTTCCGTTCGTTTGACCGTTAGTTGACACTTCAAAAAAGCTTTGCTTAGGGGAAATTGTCACAATACAACTTTGTTTCTTGTTTTGGCATTGCATATGACTGAATATTTAGATATTCTATACCATCATGGTGGAGTCATGGACTTCTCGAGTTTGGAACTACGATATGTTGGTGGTTTTTCAGAGAAGATATCGATGGATATTGATGAAGTGTCGTACTTCAAACTTTTTTGAAGTGTCAACTAACGGTCAAACAGACAGAAAGTTAACGATTTGGATATTAGATTGTTTTCGAAAAGGTTTGGCTATTATATTGTTTAAAATAAAAGGTTTGGATATTAAATTGTATTTACCCTTTTTTTTAAGTACTTATCTAAAAACTCCAGCCAGAAGCTGCTTGTGCAAAAGATATCGCAGGGCCAAACTAAGCTATTGTAATTTAATTATTGAGAATAGAGATACCACGTGGCTGCAGGCTACGGCATTGAAACAATGAAACCTCCGTCCACGCTAACAACTGGTCAACAGAAATTTCCTTGGATCGGTAGGTTAATTAGGACATCTGAAATCACCTAATTGATGCAATGCAAGTTGATCTGATTTTAAATGTGGGAATATCAAAATAATTAATTACTGCATGCGTTGTAGTCAGCTTATCCGTACGGTTCCATACCTATCCGAAGAAGAAGAAGTTATGCCTGGCACATAACTTTAAGGGTCCGGATAGTATAACAATACAATTCATTAAGGGTATACTAACAAAATTAATTAAGGATTGTTATACTAACAACGTAATTCATTAAGGATATAAGAGCATCCACATCAATGTAATTGCAAAGTCAATTGTATATGTATTTTTTTATGACACCTCATAATTTTTGCAATCCAA